GGTTTTTTTAAGCATTTTGACTTCGAAATGTGCTTCGCCCCAAAATGGCGTGCACTTTTTTGACATCTGAACATCCAAAATTGTCCGAACCCCTGGTGTTTTAACATTTTGACTTCGACATGTGCTTCGCGCCACAACGGCGTGCACTTTTTCGACATCGCAACTTCCAAAAGTGGTCCGACACTGAGGTGCTTTGTACATTTTGACTTCGAAATGTGCTTCGCGCCACAACGGCGTGCACTTTTTCGACATCTCAACTTCCAAAAGTGGTCCGACACTGAGGTGTTTTGTTTTCCTTCTCTCTGCCTCTGCCCTGCTCTGCTTTTCATCTGTCCATATTGTCGGAAGTTTGACTTCTAAACTTCCATCGATTATGGATCAGAATTCTACAGTATATAAATGTATATTATGTATTATGGATCAGAATTCTACAGTATATAAATGTATATTATGTATTATGGATCAGAATTCTACAGTATATCAACGTATATTATGTATTATGGATCAGAAATCTACAGTATATCAACGTATATTATGTATTATGGATCAGAATTCTACAGTATATCAACGTATATTATGCATTATGGATCAGAATTCTACAGTATACCAACGTATATTATGTATTATGGATCAGAATTCTACAGTATATCAACGTATATTATGTATTATGGATCAGAATTCTACAGTATATCAACGTATATTATGTATTATGGATCAGGATTCTACAGTATATCAACGTATATTATGTATTATGGATCAGAATTCTACAGTATATCAACGTATATTATGTATTATGGATCAGAATTCTACAGTATATCAACGTATATTATGTATTATGGATCAGAATTCTACAGTATATCAACGTATATTATGTATTATGGATCAGAATTCTACAGTATATCAACGTATATGATGTATTATGGATCAGAATTGTACAGTATATCAACGCATATTGTGTATTATGGATCAGAATTCTACAGTATATCAACGTATATTATGTATTATGGATCAGAATTCTACAGTATATCAACGCATATTATGTATTATGGATCAGAATTCTACAGCATATCAACGTATATGATGTATTATGGATCAGAATTCTACAGTATATCAACGTATATTATGTATTATGGATCAGAATTCTACAGTATATCAACGTATATTATGTATTATGGATCAGAATTCTACAGTATATCAACGTATACTATGTATTATGGATCAGAATTCTACAGTATATCAACGTATATGATGTATTATGGATCAGAATTCTGAAGTATATCAACGTATATTATGTATTATGGATCAGAATTCTACAGTATATCAACGTATAGTATGTATTATGGATCAGAATTCTACAGTATATCAACGTATATTATGTATTATGGATCAGAATTCTACAGTATATCAACGTATAGTATGTATTATGGATCAGAATTCTACAGTATACCAACGTATATTATGTATTGTGGATCAGAATTCTACAGTATATCAACGTATATTATGTATTGTGGATCAGAATTCTACAGTATATCAACGTATATTATGTATTGTGGATCAGAATTCTACAGTATATCAACGTATATTATGTATTATGGATCAGAATTCTACAGTATATCAACGTATATTATGTATTATGGATCAGAATTCTACAGTATATCGACGCAAATGATGTATTATGGATCAGAATTCTACAGTATATCGACGCAAATGATGTATTATGGATCAGAATTCTACAGTATATCAACGTATAGTATGTATTATGGATCAGAATTCTACAGTATATCGACGTATATTATGTATTATGGATCAGAATTCTACAGTATATCGACGCAAATGATGTATTATGGATCAGAATTCTACATTATATCAACGTATAGTATGTATTATGGATCAGAATTCTACAGTATATCAACGTATATTACGTATTATGGATCAGAATTCTACAGTATATCGACGTATAGTATGTATTATGGATCAGAATTCTACAGTATATCAACGTATAGTATGTATTATGGATCAGAATTCTACAGTATATCAACGTATATTATGTATTATGGATCAGAATTGTACAGTATATCAACGCATATTGTGTATTATGGATCAGAATTCTACAGTATATCAACGTATATTATGTATTATGGATCAGAATTGTTTTTCTTCAAACTTGGATTGATCAAACAAAAAGGGTGCAGGGCAGGACCCAATTTCTGAGTGCCTTGGTTCACTCTTGTAGAGACATTTTGAGACGAAACTCACGGTATGGGTATGGTTCAAAATTGTATACACAGAAATTTGAGGGTTTACGATGTATTATATATAATTACATATATATATACATTGTAAATGCATCCCTGGGTCTTCAATTTGACCCATGTCCGCTTGAGATGCTGCGGCTCAAATTGTCACGAGATGGCCATTCAACCAGCTTCCAATTCCAAGGGAAATTTTCCAGAGACATCGCGGAAAAAACATCCACCATTCTTCCAAAAACTTCTTGGCCATGGGCTGCTGCAAGAAATTTTGTTGCTGCTTGTGGTGCCCATGCTGTTTTTGCCTAGGCGTGGTCCAACTGGATATGCTACAGATGGTAGGTCTTAGAGTCTTAGAGTATGGCAACCAGCAACGGGAGTGCGTGATGCATCAGGCATTGAATGCATTGACATCACGGATTTGTCGGGCTGGTTTTTAGTACCACTTGGTGATTGAAGGTTTTTTTTTCCAGTAGCCCCAACCATGCCCTCTCGAATATCTCTATCTCTATCTCTAATCTAATCCCACATACTCTGCAAAATATCGAAATCTAATCTTAGTCCTATCTTAATAACTTAATCTATCTGGGCCTTGGAGGCACCCTCCGTGCCTTCGCCCTGCTGGGTGCCTTCCTGGCGCTTCTTGTGGCGCTGGCGCTGGGCCCAGTGCCTGTGGACATCGCCGATGACATCGGTGACCTCTGCGAGGCAGTGGCCTGGTTCCGCGACACCGAGCTGTCCTACACCGTCGCTACGGTGGAAAAAGTGGTGATGTTTGGGACCCCAAAACCCGGATGGATTAAATGATTGGTGACATTAAAAATCCAATTTGGGATTAATGGGACCATTTGGATTGGTGACATTAAACATCAAATGGATTAATGGGATCAAAACCATTTGGTGACATCCAATGATCTTAAATGGATGGTGATCATTGATGGTGGATTGGTGGAACTCCGGGAAAAAAAACGGGACCAAGTTGGATGGAAAAACACGCAGCATGCTTTGCCGGTGATTTTCCCAGCAGTCCGTTGGAGATCTGATTTTGTTTGGGGGGAAGAGGAGAACGTTTGAGAACCAACTTTTCTCTAGTTGGTGGTTTGGAACATGAATTTATTTTTCCATATATTGAGAATAATCATCCCAAGTGACTTTCATATTTTTCAGAGGGGTAGGTCAACCACCAACCGGTTTCGTTTCAGTGGATGTTTCTTGGGGTTTTTTCTCGTCGTTTTGTCGGGAAAATCCAAAGGAAACCGGGTTTCCTATTTGGGGGGTTTCCGAACCATGGTTTCCTGTAGTCATATATCATAATATCAAGAACTACATATATCATCCATAATCATATAATAACCATGGTAATAACCATATATCATCCATAATATCCTCTATATTTAAGCCAAACATTTTTTGGAGGAGGGGGGAGGATTTTGGATGATCATGAGGATTTTTCGGGGGGCTAGCCACTTGAAAACCAGCAATCATGGGAGTTTACAACCAACCACGAGCTATTAATGGGATGGACATTATGCGAATTCATGGAATATAAAGCAAATCATTGTGATTTTTTTTTGCCATCAGCACATGCATTTTGTTGGGTACTAATTGGGTTCTAACGGGATATATAACCATCAATATATTGCAATTGGTTTTGTTTGACAATAGTTTTGACACCCTCAGCCATCAAATATGGCGAACATGATGGTTTAAATGGGCACCGCGTTTTGAGACTGCACAGGCAAAGCCATGTACTGAGATCATATTTTCTTGATTTTTCTTGATGATTTCAGATGATTCGTGTTTTTTTTATCGCAACTGTGATTTCTTTGGATGATTTTGGATCGCGATGAAATCGGAGTTCTCCATCATTGCGGGGTGCATCCACCAAGCCAGGTGCCTTTCATGGTACCCAGAAATTCCACTAGAAACGAGGACCCAAAATGGGGAAGGCCTGGTTTCTATCCGAATCAAGGTGGCCAGTACAGAGAACTTGCAGGCCTGGGCCGAGGCGCGGTTGAGGATTTTAGAGTCGTTGTTCATAGGGGTTTCAACATGTTCTTAACCATGAAAATAGGGAGATATAAGTGGATACAACATTATACAACTGGTAAATGCTGGTTGAGGATTCCTTTGGGGATTCGTCACTAGGCAACAAACATAAATGGGGATGACCACAATCCATTAAACAACAGAGGGTTTTGAACACTGCTCAAACGAACAGAGAATGCCAAGGGTAACTTCAGGGACTTGAACTTCAACTTGACGTTGATATTGATTGGATTTTCGGTCAGATTACCCTCCGGTAGGATTTTAGGTGGCTGGCTGGAAAGCTGGAAAATCCCCGAATAGATTCGGATAGTTGGGAACATCATAAGAATGGTGGATTTTCAATTGCCACGTTTGATACTGTCGGGTAATGATTCATGGATATGAGGGATGGAATTCCTGTTCGATTCTGAAAAAGAAAAATAGAATCAGCCAAGAATACATGGATACATGGGACAGGTACATGAAACACAGTCACAACCTCTGTGCCTTTTTTTTGCTGCCCTTTCACCAGCTGTTTCCCAGGGCTGTCACGCAGCCTTTCATCAGCTCCAGCCTGAAGCCCAAGAGCTTCTGAGAAATCTGCAGAAGACGGGGCGCCACCGAAGCGAGGAAGTGCTGAGGGAGACCCTTGGGACTAGTCTGTTTTGGGAAGATTGGGATATCATTGGGATACAACTATGATATCTAATATATATATATATACACATAATATATATATACTATATATATATACACTATATATATATATGTATATGTATATATATATATATTTACATAAATAGTAACCCCGAATTATGATATATGTTGGATGAAAAGGTTCCAAACCTATGGCGATGGGTCCAAAATGGTGATTTTCCCAAGATTTATGGCAATTTGAAAGGGAAAATTGGTTTGGTATGCGAAAATCCAACGGGTATTCGATGGTAAATACTAGCACCTAGTATGATTTTGGGGGTCGAGTCATTTGCCAAGCTATACCCAACACTGGTTGGGTTTTCTATTTATGAAGACTTCTGAGACATTTTGGGTGAGCTGGGAAATGATGATGAATTTTGGGGAAAGCATCAGATGGCTAGATCTTTTGGACAAATACACATCATGTATATCTATATCTACATCTATATCTATATAGACACATGTAGATCAGTTCGACCAGGCTTTGCCTCCAATAGATCAGGTCATCCCCAGCCCCAGGCTGGTGGATAGTGACCATCAGAGCAAACCACTAGATCCGGTCATCAAAGATAGCAGCGCAAAATCTGGATTTTTTTTACACCAATCAGTTCCAATTACTCTCTAGTAAACTAACATAACTATGGAAAATCACCCTTTTCAATGGGTAAATCCACTATAAATGGCCATGTTCAATAGCTATATTACCAGAGGGTAGTTCCATGTTTGTCCCAAGTATTACCCTCTGGTAAATCAACAAATTAAAGTTTGACCCTGAAACTGAGCAATTTATAGTGGAAACTAGTCTTTCAACCCCGATGAATGGCAGGGTCTATGTTGATTTACTGGAGGGTAACCATCTTTAACTGCTGCACCTTGATCCAATAGATCTCCGACATCCTCTTCTGTTCATGGCTATGGGGAATCCGCAAAAATCTCTGTAAGATGGATTCAGAAAAAAAACTAAAACTTCAACGATCTTCATTTTTTTTTTACAAACTCCATCAAAATCCATCAAACTCTGTCACCATCCAACCTGGCTTTTATTCGTTTTTCACGGCCATGTTGGGATCTCCCATCTTTGGGCCCCAAGTATGGGGCCGCACTTAGTAAATGGCTCCCTCAAACCCCCAGTTGATGGAATATCCCCACTGGTAAACAGACAAAAAACTATGGAAAGATCCACCATTTTGAATGGGTAAATCCACTATAAATTACCATTTTCAATAGCTTTCTGTAAACGTTTACCAGGCCGGGTATCCCCACTGGGATTCTATGGGTTCTATATGGATTCACCTGGGATCCAATGGCCGAACTTCCAAGCTCCAGCATCGCCAGGCATGGCATCGAAGAACGCACCGAACTCTGGAAGTGGAAGACTAACCGCGCTGCTCCTTGGTCTCCTTGGTCTAGGGAATTCCCCATAAATATGATATGGTAATCATTTGGGTTTTGACCCATCCAAAAAAACTGTAACATATGATAAGATGATAATATATATATATGTATATCTTATATATATATATGAAATTTTGAGTTGCTTCAGATATTTTAAGACAGATGATCATTGATATTTTAAGCATTTTTCCAAGCATAGACATGGGATGATGATCCAAAATGACATATGTGTCAGAAACCACCAACCCAGATTGATATTTTTGGTTCTGGTTAAATGGGAGATTATGCTTGGCAATGTCTGTGGCATGATTATCCCAGTGGGAAGTTGAATTCCACTCAATCAGTTCCTCAATTTTTATCCTAGCTGGTCTAGCTATCCATGTACCTATCTAAGATTATCTAAGTACCTATTGATTTTCTTTCCTCTATACCATGCTAGGCTCTGTTATGTTCTTCTTTTCTAGTCTTAGTCTTTGCCTCAGTCTCACTCTCAGTCTCACTCTTCTAGTCCTAGTCCTAGTCCCAATCCTAGTCTAGTCTATCTAGTCCCAATATGCACTATGCTTTGTTCAGTTAGGCAGGATATGCACTATGCTTTTTCCAAGTACAATGGATATCCATGTGACCATGCTTTTAACTTCATTTTGCCCTCCATCAGTGTCTGGCTGAGACAGCCTCTTAAATCTAGTCTATCTATCCTATCTGTCTATTCTACCTGTCTGTCTATTCGTCCATTTGCCCACCCCTTATCATCTAGCTGCCATATCTATTGTATGCAGTTTATTTCTATTGTATCTAGTCCTACTGTTCTATTTGGCCTTTTCCAGTCGTATCCCATTCTTGCTATCGATCTAATATAGACAAATGATGTATATATATATACATATTATTCATATGTAACCTGATGCACCATACATATATGTATATATCATATGCGAGTATGTACATAGTACATATCTTGTATATCCTATGGACATTTGTCTACCCCTCTTCCACCACTTGGCACCCTGCGGTGCCCAGGTTGACAATGGGACGCTCATCCCAGAGACTTCGCCCCCTTTTGTCGACTTGTCAGAGATTCGTCAGGTGTGGCGTAGCAGTTGCTTGTTCACCAGAAATGCTACCGGCCTCACCTAAAGCATCTGATGTTTGCAATTACTTCCAGTCCATTTATTACTGATGTTTGCAATTATATGTACATATATATAATATATATATATATACATCCTAAATCATCTGATGTTTGCAATTACTCCCAGTCCAATTAAAAGGCCAGAAAAAATTATCAGCTCGTTTTTTCAGGCCTTTCACGATGCTCGCGTGGTCCGATTTGATGCCACCAAGTTGCTGCCGAAGCATATGTTCAATGCGACGTTGCAAGACATCGAAAGGCTGTGCTTTGGTGAAGACCGAAGATCTGGTAGAAGGGGTTACCCTCTGGTAAACATACAAAAAGCTATGGAAAGATCCACCATTTTTAATAGGTAAACCATCTATTTCGATTAGGGCCATTTTCAATAGCTATGTAAGCGTTTACCAGTGGGTCGAATATCATCATTAAAATTAAACATTTAATAACATTTATCATGTTTGGCAACTTTTGGCATATGTATATAAACATCTCAGTTTGACGAGAGATGGACAAAAGCACGACACAGCTGTTACGAGTGAATCTGGCTTTTCGTTTTCAGCCATAGCTTTCCGTATTCTCCTAAATGAGAGAACAATTTCTCAGATGGGTTGGCATGCCCGCATGCCCTTGCAATTCGTTTTTCTGCAGGACATATATATCATATATCATATATCATATATATATATATATACATATGTATATATATATATGCAAACAACTATACGTATCTGACATCTGTCTACATGCAGTGTGTAATTCTATACGGAGCATTCTGTCTGCAGACAGATACGTCATATGTATATGAAATACAATGAACATGTATATGATACAGTAGGTACAAATGTCATAGTTGCTCTACACATATGAGTTTATATGATCAAATATACAGGAAGGGCCCCCCTAGATAGGCAAGTTGGTTTGTCACTAAGCTAACTAGGATTTGCAGTGGATATATCAAACTAGTTAGATGGAATTCTGAACTAACAAACACCTTGAGGGCCCCCCCCCCCCGTATGAGGGAACTTTAGGGTCTATGTGGCGCGGCCACGTTTCCTTGAAAAAATCATGGAAAAGTACAATATTTAATGAAAAATAATTCAAAATCGTTAATTTCAGCGTTTCTTTTGAAAATTGGCAAATAATTAAAATAATTGAACAAGTTGGGAGCTCCATTTTTTTTTCATTTTTTTTAATTATTCAATGAGCAAATCAGGCAGAAGTTGAAAACACTTGATTTTTTTTGATTATTTTAATTTTTTCCTTTTAAAACATTTTTCAATGAGCAAGTGAGGCAAAAGTTGAAAACAATTAATTTTTATTTTTTTTTAATTTTTTAGTTATTTTAATTGTTTCCGTTTAAAAATGGCAAATAATTAAAATAAATAAAAGAAATAAACAAATGGGAGCTCCGGTTTTTTTAATTTTTTAATTATTTTAATTGTTTCCTTTTAAAATTGGCAAATAATAAAAATAATAAAAAAAATGGGTGCTCCCATTTTTTATTTATTTATATTTTTTAATTATTTTAATTGTTTCCTTTTAAGATTTGCAAACAATTAAAAGAATTAAACAATTTAAAAAAATTGGCCGCTCCGATTTGTTTATGTTTTTTCAATTTTTTATTTTCTTTAATTGTTTTAAAATTGGCAAATAATTAAAATAATTAAAAAAATAAAAAGTTGGGAGCTCCGATTTTTTTTTTTAAATAGTTTGCTAAATTAAAAGAAAATCATTAAACAAATTAAAAAACATAAAAAAAAATCATTGTTTTGGACTTTCCTTCTTGAAGCTCATCTCGAATTGGACAATTTGAAAACAGTCAATTTTATTTTTTTCATTTTTTTAAATTATATATTAATTGTTTCCTTTTAAAATTGGCAACTAATTAAAATAATTAAAAAAAATGACAAAAATGGGAGCTCCGATTTTTTTAAAACTTATTTTAATTGTTTCCTCTTAAAATTGGCAAATAATTAAAACAATTAAACAAAAATAAAAAAAATGGGCGCTCCGATTTTTTTACATTTCTTCAATTTTTTTTACTTATTTTAATTGTTTCCTTTTAAAATTTGCCAATAATTAGTTTTAATTCTTTCCTTTTTCAAATTGGCAAATAATTAGAATAATTGAAAAAAATACAAAAATGCGAGGTCCGATTTTTTAAATTTTTTAATCTTCTCAATTAGTTTGCTAAATTCAAAGAAAATCATTAAACTAATTAAAAAAACACATAATTGTTTTGGACTTTCCTTCTTGAAGCTCACCTCGAATTGGGCAATTTGAAAACAATTAATTTTTATATTGTATTATTTTTTAATTATCTTAATTGTTTCCTTTCAAATTGGCAAATAATTAAAATAATAGAAAACAACAAAAAATGGGAGCTTCGATTTTTTTATTATTTATTATTTTTATTGTATTTTTTAAAATTATTTTAATTGTTTCCTTTTAAAATTGGACAAATAATTAAAATAATTAAACAAATTAAAAAAGTTGGGAGCTCCGATTTTTTTATTATTTTATTTTTTTTAATTGTTTCCTTTTAAAATCGGCAAATAATTAAAACAATAAAAAAAATAAATACTTTGGCAGCTCCGTTTTTTATTTTTTATTTTTTTTACTTATTTTAATTGTTTCCGTTTAAAATTGGCAAATAATTAGCATAATTGAAAAAATAAAAAATTGGCGAGGTCCGATTTTTTTTAAAATTTTTCTAACTACTTTAATTATTTTAATTGTTTCCTTTTAAAATTGGCAAATAATTAAAAAATTAAGAAAATTAAATAAATTGGGAGCTCCGATTTTTTTTTAAATATTTTAATTAGTTTGCTAAATTAAAAGAACATAGTTAACATAATTAAAAAAAATAAAAAACCTAAAAAACATTGTTTTGGACTTTCCTTCTTGAAGCTCATCTTGAACTGGAAAAATTGAACACAAAGTGAAAGCAAAAAAAATAATAAAACAATTGGATTTGCGAATTTTGTACTTTTCATTATTTGGCGAAAAAGACAAAATAAAACTCGTAGTTTTCAACTTTGAGGGGGCGGAACTTAATCATTCATCCGTATGTTTAGAGAAGGGACCGGTTTGGATGGTTGCTTGGCGAAATGTTCCTGCTGCCAGCCTTTCTGGCAAAATTTGCAGGCCACGATGTGACGGTCAACAAAAGCATCTGGGGTCCTATGTATGATGGCAGCAGGCAGTGCTCCTTGTCACCTCAAGAAACCCGACTTCGCGAGCAAATCTCTACGCAAGTCATGTCCAAACGGAAAGCCCAACGGATCGTTAGTGAAGCCGCTCATTTGCAGGTGTGGCCCACCAGGATCCAATTCATTGAAGCACTGGCAGCGTTATCGTCGCTTCACCCCGGAGAAATGCATCGCAAACTGGAAGGAAGTAAGACGACGGTGGTGAAAATGTTGCACTCTTTGGCATCTTCGGAGAAAGTGGAGTGGCTCTTCAACTCCTTGCGGTACCGTCACGGCTTGCCGTTTCATGTTCGCATGCTCCTACCATCTGGGACAACAGCCAATGAAGCTTTGCATGCCGAATTAAACAACTTCTTTCGACAAATTCAAAGCATGCACCTCAGCACTTTGTCTCTGAAACTGAACATTCTTCGATTAGGTAAGCTGATGTCGCATAACCTTGCTCTGTTTAGACCGACTGCCAGGCAAATGCCTGGTGCCCATGTTCTGGCTCGGAGACTAGGGAAGCCTGTATGGACAAAGGACACATGGCTCGCATGGGCAGAAGATGGTCGTAAGAATGGAGAGTCTTTACCTTACAAAAAGAGGCGTCTGGAGGAGCAGAGACTCACATCCAGAAAATCTCCAGCTGCGTCAAGAAAACACGTCAGCGAACCGTCTTCACTTTGCCACGGGACGGCAACGTCCGAATTCGAAGAGGCGGCGTCAAAGCAAAACCTGCTGTCCGGAAGGCAAAATCAAGTCGGTAAGGAAATGACGGTAGATGTATCCATTCCGATGTTTGACCATTGTTCGAAAGTGTGTTCTACACTCACACATGGAATTTTTGGGCCAAATGCGAGTAATCCTTTATGTGAGTGGTAACGCGTGACAGGAGGGAAGGATCCGAAACTCCACAGCACGTCAGGATTAGTGGTTGACTTCCTTCAAGTGCAAAGTCGATAGTGGATTGTGTGTGTCGTCTGCACAGGGTGTGCTTCTCTTCGTCCCTTCGTGTCAAGCAACGTTTGGCAAGGAAGGCGTAATTGCATGCATCCATGACGCGCCACCGTCCCGTTATGGGGTGTACGGAGGGACCAGGGAGGGAATGTGTCTGTGTAAGTTGCTTATGCGTTTGGTGCAATAAGTTCAGTTGTGGGGAGAGAAATTCCTATGCTTCAGGGATCTTCAGGGTTCATATGGTAGACGGTTCTTTGTTTCATTCCTCACTGCACACCAAGACAAGACTAAAAGGTTCTACGCGTTTTCATGGTAAATGCAATGTGTATGGTCTGAAAGCTTTGCCTTGAGATTCGCCCATAAGGTCTTTCAACAGACCGACTTGTCTTCCGAACACGCCGCAGACCCGGAGGATATGCCAAGCAAAGAAGCATTGGAACTCAGAATGATTGACGGCCTGATCTGTACATTTGACATGCATGTTCATTCATGATGATGATGGAAGCATATCCCAACATTTGACATGCATGTTCATTCATAATGTGATGATGGAAGCATATCCCAGGGTGCTTTTTTTTGTTGGGAGAGGGCAATCACGCTCCCGTTTTTTTGATTGGCCCCGACTGCTGTGCTTCTCCGGAATGGAATCGATCCAAAAATGTACATATCTAAATGTATTCAATTCCACATGTCCGATTCTAAGATATATAGCATGGTCTGATTCATGACTGCGGGAAAGAAATCCTACATGATTATACTGACAGTATGGCCCGGGTAGGGGACCATGCCACTTAGCCATGCCATGTGAGTTGGATCGATGTGATTCCATTGCTGGATCCTTGAGCTGCCCACGTGTGCCGTGACCATGACGTGATCTTGAAGAAGAGAAAAAAGGCACGTGCGCGCCGAATAGACCCAAAAGTTCCCTACCACGGCCCCCCCCAAGAATCTATGTAATGTAATGTAGTAAAAATATAAATGGAAATGTAAACGCAAACGTCAACGTAAATGTGAATGCAAATGTAATGCAATGCATTGTAGTGTATTGTATGGTCATTTATTGAATGGTAATTTGTTGTATGGTAATGCATTGATAATGTATTGTATGGCAATGTATCGTATGGCAATGTATTGTATGGTACTGCAGTGTATGCTAATGTATTGTATGGCAATGTACAGTACTCTAACGTATAGTAATGTCTTGTATGGTAATGTATTGTATGGCAATGTATTGTATGGTAATGATTGGTAATGTATGTATGGTAATGTATGTATCGTAAGTACAACCATATCGGAAGAAATGAACCGATGAAACACGAGCTTTTCGAGGATTTTTCTTGTGCACGCCGAGGCATCAGAAGACCATTGATGAGACCATCCTGTATGGTACACTTGGTGGGGGTGGCCTATGCCGAATGTTTCTGGATTTGGAGCATTGCATTGAAAAATACACATTAACCGCTATGAACCACTATGATCCACTATTCACCAATATTCACCAGTACTACCCTCTGGTAATTTAACATAGCTATTGAACATGGCCATTATAGTTGATTTACACATTAAAAATGTTGATTTTCCATGGTTATGTTGGTTTACCAGAGGGTAATCGATAAACATGGTTGTTTGGGACCCGTGAAACTCAAGTGTTTCGGTTTCATCGTTTGACCTGGGGCTCCAGCAAATGGCTGCACTTCCCAGTTCCAAGACCAGCTTACAATCCATTCCTCGGTTCATATTAAGAACCCACCAGCATGATGGAGGATTTACATATTCATTAACACATAGTTGAGACATTTTGGGACCATGGGATTATTTCCCATGAAACATCATTTTGTTCAAAGCCTATTTCCCATGGTTCATGAATTATCCTCACTATATCGTATCCCCATTTTTTTCACAATCACCAGGGAACTCACGACCTTCTCCTCATGATCCGGAAGATATCCCCTTTGCGCCGCGCCGCGGAGCAACAAGGTTTCTCCTCATGCCTGTGTCAAATTTGTATCCGCGATTGGGTCGGACAATGCTCTTCTCAGCTCTCAGAATCTCGGAATTGACATTTCTGACAGCAATTTATCATCTCCCATTTCTATAGCCATAGGATCCATGTATGGTATATATACTAACATAAAGGGGGTATATTGATGGGATCCATGTTACCATTAATATAGCAGCACCATGGATCCGTCATGGGATAGCCAATTTCATGAAGCATCCCTCTATTGACTCTATTGGGGATGGTGTTGTCCAAGTTGGCGGAGGACTGGGCTTGATGGCCTTCCAACAGCTGGTCTGTCGATTGAAGCCATTGCCTTTTTGGATCGAAAATCCTGAGAGGCGGAAATTCCTGGGCTCTGCCAACATCAACTTGAAGCGGCTGCCGAACTTTGGTGGAACCTTGGACGTGCCTAGCAGGCTGGGCCTCAAGGAAGACGTCGCTGGGATGTTGGCCTTGCTATGGATGGGGATGGTGACTGAGGGCCCGGCCAGAAGCTCCTTTCACACAGATGTGCAGGAGACGCTGCAAAATAAACGGCGTTCATGAGAGTTGATTTTATGGATGATAGTGGATAGTTGATGGTTGATGGATGTTGATGGTTTGATTGCACTTTTTAACGGGGAATAATATGTTGGATACAAGATGAATCAAGACGATCTTTGTTTATTTTTTCATGGACTCAGTGAAAGTGGAGGTGGATTATCTTACTGTACATACTAAACTTGGTAGTTAGCCCAGTTAGCCACATATTTTTGAGCCAGGCATGGTTCATTGAATGGTCAGGCATTTCACTAGTTTGGATATCACGCACCAACCTACAAACACAATCAAACACACACACACATCTTACATAATTTGAAATAACAACAGAACATAATTTAAGATATACTGTATGATTTAAGTCTAATAAACCATGATATAACATGATATGACATCATATTTGTTCTTATCGAGCATGTCTATATGCGGCTTGGTGTTAAACGAATACATACGAATACTAGGTATAGTATATTCTTTACTAGTATGTATTGTACATACACCACATTGTACTCCAATACAAAATGAAAGCAATTGAGCACATATTTTGTTTACATATATGACATTACAAAAAGTACTCGAATATTAAAACCATATATTATTTATATATATAATATCACATAATATGACATAAGATGCACTGTAAATATGTTTTACTGTATTCGAATGCAATATAGTTTCAACATTTACTGTATAATTAATATGTAACACACAAGATATGATATTATAATTATAATATACTATGATAACTATGGTTCTTAGATAAGCGAAGAGGGCTCCTTTGACGTGGTCTTCTTTAAATGATTGTGGATCCTTGAAAATCCAGGGTAAATCTGGTCCAAATCCTTCGTGAGCCTTTCTTGGATTTGTTTGGCTCTAGCTTTGATTTTTTCAAACTCTATGTTGCTTTCAGTGGGGTCACTGCATGACACGTGTATTACAAAATGGAATTTGGAACAACAAGGTTGTGGCCGTGTGAACGACCCTCGTTAATTTGCTCATTTCGAAATGAGTCTCGAGGATTCAGTGCTGCGTTTAGCAATCTTTTTGAATGTTCGTGATGGAACGTGTGTTTAGAACGTCCCATTTTTACCATGACTTTGAACCTCCTGTTTGCAAAACCCATTGGCTCTACGACTCTAAAACACAGCACTCTTAAAAATAAGCGGCTTTTTTGTCCTCTATTCTAGCGAGATGCGTTCTTCGCAAGAGAGCCAACTGCTTTCAGCAAGTCCTTGCGTTCCACCGGAACATGAAGGCCAAGACGTACGTGTTCAGCCGTGAATTGTCTCGCTGCCTTGTCAAGTCTCGTGACCTCAGTTCCTTGGGAACAAACTTCTTCAACTGGTTCCATGCCTGGTCGAAGCATTGCATTCCCGTCAATTTGGGAAGCTTTCTAAGTTACATGGAACGTCAAAAAAATGCCCCACCCCAGCCCAACCCCCGTTTTTTGCCTCACATCCTTCCTACGCTGGGTCGGGAATGCGACCATGAGCAACCTCCGAGAGTCGGGGAAGACTGGGAACAGGTTATTTTTTTCTAGTTTCTTGAAAGGTTCTTTAGTTTTTTTCCAGTTTTTCTGAGCATTTGCTAGTTTTCTCTAGCTTGTGGCTGCTGACGCATCCGTACCAAGTGAAACTAGATTAGGCTAGAAAAGTCAGTGATGGGTGAAGCCCTTCAAGGCAGAGGTTCCAGTCGTGAAATGCGAGGAACGACCTTGGGAAGCACAGGAATATCTTGGAAAAAGGGGAACATATCAGTGCAGCTCAGTGCAGGGTGGGTCAGTGGACTCATTGTGTTTTCTTCAGTTGTTTTCTAGCTTTCTTTAGCCTAACCGCTAACCTAGTTTTTACTTCGATTTTGTTAGCCTCAACTGGCCGCTAGTTTTTCTTTATGATTTAGAGCGGACCTGATCAAAGCGGCCCTGTAGGGGATTCAATGAATGGTATAATTTGAATACATACACACATATATATATATTATAATGTAATATAATACACGTATGTGTATATATGTCAAACTATATACTGTAGTACAATATAGTATGATAACATTGACAACTGATACTGTAATGTAACCATGATACAATGGAATGCAATAAGATCTATTTTGATCTCATAAACCCACTAATACCCAACACGATTATTATGCAATATACAATATACTATACACTATGAACATGAATACACTAGAATAAAATATACACTAGAATCAATTTAATATATACATATACATAAAATAACATATCATATCATATACAATATGTACTGCAAATATAACGTACTAATATTCATAATACTATAGCATACAGTGATATATATAATATGATATAGAAAATAATCAATTATATATAATAGAATTTTGATACATTACAATAAATTAAACTTGATATACAATATACTAAAACATGTCATACACAACTTTATGATACATTTCACATAATGTGCAATACAATATCTATATATACATACTTATATATAATGTAATGTTGAATTTTACAATGTAGCATATGATATTTGATAATTTATTAACTATATATATACATTTACTGTATTTATTTATTTATTTGTTCAACAATATTATATCATTAATGTTATGTTTTGCAATGGCATGACATCTTTCATGTGACAAAATATCATACCCCCCGTGACCTTCATCCCATGAGGGTGGAGTCATTGGGGGTTCGGCAAGATGGTCGTATGAATGTTTTGAAAGTTGGTTGAAATATGGCTATGGATCAATACCTATGAAAATACAATTTTTAGGGGGATGAACATCCAGAACTACCAGCTATTTTGATGTGAACTACAGGGGTACAAGGTTTTGACACACTGCCATATGTTGCAATGCTGGCCCTCTACTTTGAAATGGAGAGCAACGGAATATCAACTCCTGCCCCAAGGTTCAAGGCCCCTGGTCGTCGCCTGTCAGGACAACATCCTAATGGAGCTGGTTTCTGAAACCGTTGTTATGGTGGTTCCAAGGGAACTCTTTTGGCAGAAGCCGTCGAACGAGGAGGTCAGTGGCACCTACTTCAAGGTGAATCTGAAACCTGGCGAGGGCATCGTGATCCCCAGCAACTACCTTCATTCAGTCCACTGGCTGGTTTGGAAGATGTTTATTTTCGAAATGGGATTTCATGATCCGCTTTGACTATTCTACCCTTCAGTAAACAAACATACTGTAGTAGCTATTGAAAGTGACCAATTTACAGATGATTTACCTATTTAAACATGGTGATTTCCATAGCTACGTTAGCTTACCAAATGCTATTTTTCAGGGGTGGCTCAACCAACGACCAGGTTCAACATCTGCATGCGGACCGGCTTGGGGTGAACTTCTTTTTCGAGCCCCGCTTCGGAAGTATGCAGTGGCCCAACAGTTCGGGGAACTTCTATGCCGAAACCGCCAAAGAGAGAAAAGAACACTTGGCCATGAGGTCGTTGTGGTTTCAATCTGCCAACGAAGTTTGGAACAAATTTGGAAAAGGTGTCCCTTTCCACGGCTGGAAGATGGAAATTCTATGAGCGACGTGTTCGATGGTGCAACATGGTGCAACAGTCACCGCATCGAAAAAAGATGTCGCGTCGCGCTTTGGTTTGTTCTACAAGGTGGCCATCAATGCATTGCATGGGACTGCGTACCTCACAATTCTAGAAGAGTAGGCACTTGCCTTTTGTTTCCCATGCATTTCCCATGGTTTTCCCATCTAAAAATGTCGATATCTAAGATGGCAAAGGACGTCCCCGATATCAATCTTAAGCCAATTTTGGAACACATATGTATATACGGGGATTTGCTGCGTGATCTGTGCGTAAGCCACGAACCATTTACGACATTTAAGATGACTCATACTCATGGCGTGTATGGAATATCCAAGAAAAACATCATAATTACATCATTTTTTCCATCATAATTAGTGATATCCAATCATGTTGGTACATCATTGTTACATCATCATACCGCTACCCACCAGATGAAGTTAACATCATGGGGTGCCATCACTGGTTGGAGGCTTTTGTTGGTATCACAGTTCCCCTGACAAAAGTGGCCCCGAAAATAGCAACCGGGTTGCCAAGATGCGTGGTTTAGGTTTTGCTGTGCTTTCGGCCTGCTTCAGTGATCTTTGGTTGGAAAAAAAACATGCATTTCCTGTTGATGTTTCGCTGGTTGCATCGTTTGCACAACAACCAGACGTTTTTTTTGCGACGCCATCGAAGGAAGTTTTGTGGGGCACAGACACTGAGGTGATATAGGACGAGCCCATCAAAAAGTGACGCCAAGTGAGGGGTCAGCATTTTGTAGATCTGAAAAACCATTCACTTTTCCAGTCGACTTTCAGGTTGTTTTTGCCATCCCTTTTGTTTCAAGGGCTACATCCATGTACTTCCCATCTGAAAAATCCGGAGCCACATCCCCACGGTCAATATTCCTTCCCAGTAAAATCCAATGAAACCTGGTGGTGACTGGAACCATGGAATGGATTATGACTTTCCCATAATTATATAATTGGGAATGGAATAATCATAATTTCATCATCCCAACTGACGAACTCACTCCATCATTTTTCAGAGGCGTAGGTTGAAACCACCAACCAGAAACAATATGTTCATGTACTTTCTTTCCCATAGCGTCCCCATTGAAATGGCCGTACCTCTGGCCATAACTCTGGCCATAACTCGTGGCTTTTCGCCACAGCCTCGCGCCAGGAGCTCCTGAGTGATGCAGACCTGCTGGCAGTGCCTCAGATGCAGGGATGGAAGAGAGCCAACGGCGGTAACGGCTTTGTACCCGACAACAGCGGAGGTTTCATGATGGAGGGTATATATTTTTTTGATTTGTTTTTTTTTGTTTTGCAGCCTGGGGCAGCTTTCCTTGCTATTTGCGGCATTTTGGAGCTAAAATCTGTGTTTTGCATGCATTTTGGAGCTAGAATCTCCCATTTGCGTGCCCACTTGGCTTTTGGCTTCACTTGGCTTCACTTGGCTTCACTTGGCTTCACTTGGCTTCACTTGGCTTCACTTGGCTGATGGCTTTTGGCTTTTGGTTTTGGTTTCACTTGGCTTTAGTTTTGGCCGTTCACGTCACTTGGCTCATGGCGTTTGTTGGGTGGGTATTAGTATTGTAGTTTGCACATAACATTTCATGTAATACATTGCATATACCCTAAAGAAACCTTAAAAGAAACCCTAAAGAAACCGTAAACGACACCCTAAAGAAACCCTAAAAGAAACCCTAAATGAAACCCTAAAAGAAAATCGAAATAAAAACCTAAAGGGACCCTAAATGAAGCCCTAAAGAAAGCCTATAGGAAACCTTAAAGAGACCCTAAATTAAACCCTAAATGAAACCTGAAAAGAAACCCTAAAGAAACCTTAAAAGAAACCCTAAAGAAACCCTGAAGAAACCCTAAAGAAACCCTGAAGAAACTCTCAATGAAACCCTAATGAAACAAGAACCCTAGAAGAAACCCTAATGAAACACGAACCCTAGAAGAAACCCTAAAGAATCTTTGAAACCCCGGAAAGATCATTGAAGACGATCAAGAAAGCGATCAAAACCATCCAGACATCGTTGAAAACCATGGGAAAATGGGTGAAAACTAAAATGTTGCAATTATCGTGCAAATTTATGATGTTAGCTACCCCAATCTGCGACTTCAGCTCCGAAATGCTGCAAATAGCATGCACAATGAGAGATTTTAGTTCAAAAACGCAGCAAATAGCACGCAAACCAGAGAGCTCCAAAATGAAGCAAATAGCACGCAAATCAGAGATTGGCTCCAAAATGCAGCAAATAGCACACAAATCAGAGATTTTAGCTCCAAAATGTAGCAAATAGCAAGGAAAACTGCCCCAGACCGAAAAAAAACAAGATGCAGCCCACGAACCCGAATGCTCACACGTATGTTAATGGCGCAGATGTCAAAACACATGGATATGCAATCACGCAGAACACTTTTCTGCAATAGTTTATTTGAACAGTCTTGTACATATTTCCCCTGTTACCAGTCTGCAGTGTGGAGTGTGGAGTGTAGCGTGTGGAGTGTAAAGTGTAGAGTGTGGAGTGTAAAGTGTGGAGTGTGGAGTGTAAAGTGTAGAGTGCGGGGAGTGTGGGGTGGAAAGTGTAGAGTGTGGAGTGTGGAGTGTGGAGTGTAAAGTGAGGAGTGCGGAGTGTAAAGTGTGGAGTGTGGAGTGAGGAGTGTAAATTGTAGAGTGTGGGGTGTGGAGCGTAGAGTGTAAAGTGTAGGGTGTAAAGTGTAGAGTGTGGAGTGTAAAGTGTAGAGTGTGGAGTGTAAAGTGTGGAGTGTGGAGTGTAAAGTGTAGAGTGTGGAGTGTGGGGTGGAAAGTGTAGAGAGTGGAGTGTGGAGTGTAAAGTGAGGAGTGCGGAGTGTAAAGTGTGGAGTGTGGAGTGTAAAGTGTAGAGTGTGGAGTGTGGAGTGTAAAGTGTGGAGTGTAAATTGTAGAGTGTGGAGTGTGGGGTGGAAAGTGTAGTGTGGAGTGTGGGGTGTGGAGTGTAAAGTGAGGAGTGAGGAGTGCGGAGTGTAAAGTGTGGAGTGTGGAGTGCGGAGTGTAAGTGTGGAGTGCGGAGTGTAAAGTGTAGAGTGTGGAGTGTGGAGTGTAAAGTGAGGAGTGCGGAGTGTGGAGTGTAAAGTGTAGAGTGTGGAGTGTGGGGTGGAAAGTGTAGAGTGTGGAGTGTGGAGTGTGGAGTGTAAAGTCAGGAGTGCGGAGTGTAAAGTGTAAAGCGTGGAGTGTAAAGTGTGGAGTGCGGAGTGTAAAGTGTAGAGTGTGGAGTGTGGAGTGTAAAGTGAGGAGTGTGGAGTGTGGAGTGGAAAGTGTGGAGTGAGGAGTCTGGAGTGTGTAAAGTGTAAAGTGTGGAATGTAGGGTGTAAAGTGTAGAGTGTAAAGTGTAGAGTGTGGAGTGTGGAGTGTAAAGTGTGGAGTGTGGAGTGTGGAGTGTATAGTGTAGTGTGGAGTGTGGAGTGTGGAGTCAGGAGTCTACAGTGTAAATTGTGGAGTGTGGAATGTGGAGTGTAAAGTGTGGAGTGTGGAATGTGGAGTGTAAAGTGAGGAGTGTGGAGTGTGGAGTGTGGAGTGGAAGGAGTGCGGAGTGTAAAGTGAGAAGTGTGGAGTGTGTGTAGTGAGGAGTGTGGAGTGTAGGAAGTGAGGAGTGTAAAGTGAGGAGTGTGGAGTGTAAAGTGTTGTGGAGTGAAGAGTGTAAAGTGTAAAGTCTGGAGTGTAAAATGTCAAGTGTGGAGTGTGGAGTGTAAAGTGAGGAGTGTGGAGTGTAAAGTGAGGAGTGCGGAGTGTAAAGTGTAAAGTGTGGAGTGAAGAGTGTAAAGTGTAAAGTCTGGAGTGTAAAATGTCAAGTGTGGAGTGTAGTGAAAGTGTAGAGTGTAAAGTGTAGAGTGGGGAGTGTGGAGTGTAAAGTGTGGAGTGTGGAGTGTAAAGTCTCGAGTGAGGAGTGAGGAGTGTAAAGTGCAAAGTGTGGAGTGTAAAGTGTAAAGTGTGGAGTCTAAAGTGTAGATTGTGGAGTGTGGAGTGTAAAGTGTAGAGTGTGGAGTGCGGAGCTTCCCCCATAGACACGGCGAAGCCACAGGAAAACCAGAGACTCGAGACGAGACACGTGGGTGCAGGAAAAACGAGCATTTCGTGCGAGACTTCCTCCAATTTTGACATTTTCGACACGTTAGCAAACAGGTTGGAATGTCACAAAGTGCCACGCCTGCCACGCAAAACGACGTGACAACCTGCTTGGAAACCTTCGAAAAGGAGAAGTTTTGCAGCTTCCCCCATAGACACGGCGAAGCCACAGGAAAACCAGAGACTCGAGACGAGACACGTGGGTGCAGAAAAACGAGCATTTCGTGCGAGACTTCCTCCAATTTTGACATTTTCGACACGTTATCAAACAGGTTGGAATGTCACAAAGTGCCACGCCTGCCACGCAAAACGACATGACAACCTGCTTGGAAACCTTCGAAAAGGAGAGGTTTTGCAGCTTCCCCCATAGACACGGCGACGCCACAGGAAAACCAGAGACTCGAGACAAGACACGTAGGAACATCAAAACCAGCATTTCGTGCGAGACTTCCTCCAATTTTCACAGTTGGCAACATGACAAAAGGAGAAGTTTTGCAGCTTCCACCATAGACACGGCGAGGCCACCGGAAAACCAGAGACGCGAGACACGACACATAGGAGCGCCAAAACGAGCATTTCGTGCGAGTCTTCCTCCAATTTTGACACTTTGCAGCTTCAAAATCGACGTTTTCCTACGAGTTTTCCTTAGAACGTGAAAATTGGCAACCCCAAAATCGATGTTTCGTGCGAGGCTTCCGTCCATTTTCAACGCATCGCAGAAAATGCCACGCCTGCCACGGAATTTGCACCTTGTCGCCACTTGACGCAGCCCTGCCAATGCGATTTGCAAAAAACACGCAACATGACACGTCTAAAGTGCTGCGCCTGCCACGAAAAATGACGATGGACACGTCCAAAGTGCTGCGCCTGCCACGAAAACTGCAACACATCTTCTGAAAACGTCGCAAAAGTATTGCGCCTGCCACGCAAAACGACTTTCGACACGTTCCAGAACACGTCTGAATGTCACGAAGTGCCACGCCTGCCACGCGAAACGAAGCAACGACACGTCTGAAACCTCCAAAAATGACCACCTCTGCAGAACTTCCCATAGGCACGGCCATACGGGGATCGCGCGGACGGTTGCGGACGGTTGCGAACGGTTGCGACGGTTGCGACCGTGAACGCAACGTCGAGCGAACACACCCTCAACCCCCAGACCCCCAGAGTGAAACGGGAACCCTTGCTACGCATTCGGGAAAAAAACTCCTTAAAAACAACAAAAAAGATCCTTAAAAAATCATGACCGAATCATTATTTATTCAAGTTTAATATACGTAGTTTAATTGTTCATATTGTATATTATATATTATTATCATGAATCATTATTGTTATTATCTATTCATACTATAATATATATATATACTCGTACATACACATTATCATACAGTATATATATATATATATCCCGCATCATACAGTGATATTTCGGGCCATTCAACTACTGCCGAGGAACAATGGTCTGACGAGCAAATGGCTGGTGTAGCTCTTAACACTGGTCTCGTTGCCTGACCAAAAACCATGGAGAAGCGCATGGACAGGGAAGGTGTGGATGAATTGATGTTTCGGATCCGGGATGAATGGATGAAGAAAATAGACCCTGCCATTCATCGGGGTTGGAAGATGAGTGAAACCACTAAAAATTGGTGATTTTCAGGGTCAAACTGTTAATTTACTAGAGATCTAGAGGGTAAATACATCAAACTACTTTGTTTCAACCATTTTGTGGAGCTTTGTGTACTCTCAACTGCTCAAAATCTGTCAACGGCCTCCAAACTGACGTCCACCAGAAATCCACCGTGTACATAGGCCCCACGTGCCAGTCAACTTTTCGGCCGGGTGTATCCCTGAAATTCAACCGCTGAAACAGCGAAAGAGGATGAAACAAGGAAAAGGGACTTTGGAATGAGTCAATTTACTTTTGTTTCATGGCCATTCTGCGGTTTCAGCTCTTCAATTTCGGGCGGTAAAACTGCGGATTTTTCACGGCCTAGCTGTCCTAATTTGTGACTCGAAATCGGCTTCTGCGCTCACCAGAGCCAGCGGTAGTGCAGTCGAAACACTGCACAGCACTTGCTTTGGTTTCGGGCGACACCACTTCCCTTGAGCCTGGCAGGCGGTCATACATAAGATGTCATGAACAAAAAATCCCTGGGGAAAGCTTGGATGTAGTTTGATATTTCAATCATTGTCCAAAAAACATCGGGAGATAATGTCAACCGGCTCTTTTAGCAGCATGAAAAAAACGATATCCCTCCAGAACCATTTCTACACTGCTTCAACTTAAGTTGTGCCCAAATGCCGTTTCTTCCGGCAACTGTTTGGTCAAGCAAGGAGACCTCGTGACATGAAGGAGACCTCGTGACCTCGTGATGCAGAGGTGTTGCCATACAAACGTCCGGCTTTCTTAGGTGAAGTCTGATGGTGAAGTATAGCTGTGTGCTAAATTACAGCATCCACCATCCCCAACCCAATATCAACCTTCACCATCCACTGACGGTGAGGATTACCCAAGCAATTTAAGGCCGAATTACAGGGTTCCATCCTAAATAACAGTCATGACAAGGAACGAAGAAATGCAGCAACTGTGGCATTGACTTTGTTTGGAATTTGGCCTGCCAGGATGTTGAAATTTTCGTTTCCCCGTTCCACACATATCATTTGGCTTTTTCGGCCGTGATCAGGTCTTGTGTTCCTTTGAGCAGTAGACATTTCAGCAGCTGCTTGGTGGTTTCAACTCAACTATTTTCTGTAACTGGTTGGTGGCTTGGAACATTTTTTATTTTTCCATATATTGGGAATAATCATCCCAACTGACTTTCATATTTTTCAGAGGGGTAGGTCAACCACCAACCAGGTAATCATTCTTGTGATGATGCAGGTCACTTCAGGTCAAAAGTCATCAAAAGTCGGTCCTGGTTCAACAAAAAATAGCCACCACCGGGAACTGCAAGACGATCACGTGGATGCAGTTTGGCGATTCTGCAAGATCTCGCCAGACAACTTGCCGGATACAGTCGCCCGATGCGCCAGCGTGGGAGAGTTGAATGTGAGATTTAGTTGGCACTAGTCCAACCAATCTACCGCAATCTATGGGTCAAACATATTCAAAATTAGGTACTTCAAACATCTTCAAACCACCAGACCAAAGTCTGCGTCATCTTCGCTCAAAAGAAGCACGAATAAACCGTCCTTTCACAGTCGGATCTCAGATGGCATTGCAGTGACCTGCCATATTTTTACCACCCATGACCGGGAATGGTAAACATACAACCTATAAAAATGGTGATGACTGGGGGATGGTAAACATGACATTGTTTTAACATGTTTTAACCACATTACATCAGATGTTACTGACAAAATTGAAAAAACGTATAACATCCAAGGGCGAAGATAGAACACGTTTCAGGTGAAACTTCAGCCATGACCATGACATACCATGACCATTTCTGGCTGCATGGGCCAAGAGTTACCCCCTTGGGGTGGAGTGAGCTTTGAGATGCTGTGAGTAAAAGCGCAGCGTGAGGATTTCATCGGTGGCAGCAGGTAGTGCAGTTGAAATCACCGTGGGACACAGCATGTTCTTCACCAAGAAAAAGGTGGTCCCCATTGAGTCCCTATATATTTAGGGGGGTTCGTAAAATGGGTGTAGCCTATTAGCCTATGGGCTTCAATACTAAAACATATACTGAAATGGTCATTAGAGACATTGGATGATTTGGATGATTTGGATGATTTGGATGATTTGGGGTGCTCCTATTTTAGGAACCCCCCTATTACTGTATATTACTGTCTCATTGAATCCTCCTCTCCTCCTTGTATCTCCGGAGATAATTCTCCAGAGACAAGAGAGGGCCACCTCATGGCCCAAACAAGGCTCGCTGCTGAGAATAGATCTACTGATGATCTACTAGTCTATTAGTATAACGCTCTGCGCATCTGCGCATATGGATTTGATATGATTTCATGGCTCTGAAATATTGGCTTCGGAAATTTATATAGTCTCAATTCAAATTAGTACTTATTCGGTTCATGTACCATCATATGTTGCAGCGAACTCATGTAGTTTCATGCGGATTTGTTGATGCCGCAGAAGAGCGAGAATGGGAAACCCGGTAATTTTCATCCTAAAACCATAGCAATGTTGGGATTGTTGCTGCGAAGTGGGTTGAGTAAACTTGAGGTACTTGGATTTTCTGAAGGAGAAGCGAAGACAAATGGCCAGGGCCTCACACTCCAACGGACAAGCACTGGATCTGCAACCCTTCGAACCGTTCCCAGCCCCTCTCTGTTGAACCAGGTTTGTTGCTAAATCCTCCAATATGTCCTGCTTAAATGTACTTAGAGCATCTTAGAGCCTCATTTTTTCGTGGCCAAATCAATTGAATCTCTTTTTGTTGGTGCTCTTAGTCTTAGTCCTCAAATAGACAGAATTTTTGTAGTTGAATCACCACAAAAAATATCCAGACGCAAAGCTCCGCTATTCTCGAGAATCACCAAAGCTATTTTCAACGATGGGATGATATACTTGGGACCCAAGGACCTCCATTTTTGGTTGAACTGATGGAATGATTCCTGTTTGGCGTGTGATCTACCGAGGTTACCCTCATCTTTCCCAGTTTTTGTTGACGAAATGATTTCAATCCAAACCGCATCTGCCATAGGTCCATAGGTCTGGTGTTTTTCCGGACTTCTGCAGCTGATTGAAACCCATAACCCATATATGTTTCATGTTTTTTTTTTCGTGGCTCCGGGTGCCAACATGCCGAATTTTTCATCAACACCACGACCTGCGTACGACCAAACGTTCGCGAGGCGGTGTTGATCGTCAGCTCAGTTGCTGCTGGTGTGGTGGCACCTTTCTTGGTGGCTTGCCTCCGTGGCGAGCACGGGCGCCGAGGGAAGGAAATTTCTGGACGACTGGAGTAGATCTGGCGATTTCAGGTCTGGCGGTTGTGTTTTTCAAGTGTTTAAATAAACACAACTGGGACGACTGGTGATGCTATTTTTTTTTGGGGGGATGGGTTCAAAACGCCAATTGGATTATATTCATTATATAACTATATGTATAGTATGTTTGTATTTTTCACAGAGAATCATCGCTTTGGGACATTTGATCCCTACAGAAACACCAGATTTTTAGCTTGTCCAGAAAGGGTCGGATATCTTCAAGGCCAAAGTCTGGTAACTGGTGACTGGTCATAGAGATGGCGACAAAAATAGCCCATGGAAAAATCTATGCATTAAGAAACCATCAATGACCTTGCTGACAGAGGTTCCTCCCGGTGTGTTTTGATGGCCCCAGATGGCCCCAGGGCAACTGTCCATGGACCCAACCAGAACAGCCTAGATGATCCAGAAATGAGGAGTTTCCAAGTGAACCTAAGATTTTAATTAGATCAACATCGTTGTGTATAATTTTTACTCATCCTGTTCTGAGTCACTTTATGCTGATCTAGAGCTAGGACATCACAGGTGCAGTCAGCACATGATTACCCCACGTGATTTCCCAAGTGATTCCACTGCTGACAGTGTAGGTTTGGATGTTCGGCTTAGTTAGCGCTGGGAGAATCCCGCCTGAGTTCAAGTTCCATCCATTAGGCCACAAGAAAGCCTGGCAGCAGTGCAAATTATGGCTCCTTGGCCGCGGTCGGCCAAATTGTTCTGACAACTTTCGGATGACAACTTGAGGCTTTGAGGCCCCCTTTTTTTGGAACCGAGAGTACGCAGACAGAAATCCAAGATAGCAAAGTTCGCAATTCACTCAATCCCTATGTTTTTTGATTTTGTTTCTATTTAATTAATTTGTGTTGCTGCTATCTCCATTTGTTGCTGGTCATGTCCCTCTGGTTGTTTGGCAAGAAAAACATCAGTAATCGATGAAGTACAGTATTTCCTCCATCAGTATCATTTCAATTTACCCTCTGGTAAACTAACATAACTATGGAAAATCACCATTTTTAGTGGAAAAACTCACTATAAATGGCCATTTTCAATAGCTATGTAAACGTTTACCAGAGGGTATTTGAATCAAGTGGATTGATGAGATGCCGTTTTGGCTGATGAGATCAACCATTTGAAATGAATCCACTGTTTTCATTCACTTAACCACTGTTTGGTTGCCCCATCCGGATGGAAGCAAAACACAGAAAAACGCGGAACTTCCAAGTGAAGGATTTTACACTACGTTGATTTATAACCATCATTTTCACATCATGTTCCAATCATTTCCAATCAGTTTGCAATCATTTTCCAATCATTTTCCAATCATATTCCAATCATATTCCAATCATATTCCAATCATGTCCAATCATTTTCCAATTATTTTCCAATCATTTTCCAATCATTTCCAATCAGTTTCCAATCATGTCCAATCATTTTCCAATTATTTTCCAATCATTTTCCAATCATTTCCAATCATTTCCAATCAATCAATCTTTTCCAATAGTTTCATAATCGTAAGTTCCCAAACCTTAAATCCATCATTTTCACCCAAGGTGCAGCTGTTTACTCTGACAGTGCTGGCTTTGGGTGTCTATGGTGCCACTCAGGGTGGCACGCAACGGGAACTCTAAGGCCACTTTTATCGGGTGGCTCTACTTGGAGTACGTGGAGTTTATAACATTTATAATATTAGATATAGGTTATAGGCATATAATTATATATATATATGTGTACATGTTTTCAATATTATATAATATATTCATATTATAATTAACGTCCAGCGTTTGTGACGTAACTCCGTTCCTTTATGGGAAATTTTCCTTAAGTTTCTCCGTCCGCGGAGCTGCAGCGCCTGAAATTCCATCAATGGAGGTGTTCGATGGTGGAAAAAGATGGTTTTAGTATAGGATTTCCATGGATTTCCATGGGAAATTCCACTATAAACACGAAATAAATGGATGATTTGATTGGGAACATCTGAAAATCTATCGGAGGTTTGACTGGGAAATTTTTTATGGGAAATTCCATCAATGAAAGGCCCTGAATTCTTCGCCTCGGATCAGGAATCTGCCGATTTTCCAGCCATCCAATGGCTGCCATTTTCGGTGCGAATTCAGGTCCCAAGTTTGGAGAGCACCTTGGCCCCGCTGCGGATTCTGGAGATGTCTCCCCGCGACTTCATCCGGCCGTACGTGCCATATGGTGGAAACGGGTGGATGGGGAATCTGGTAGTTCCTTGTTTCGGGGTATCTTTGGACATCTTTGTTCAGAAACGGGGTACCCTCTGGTAAACTGTTACATAACTATGGAAAGATCCACCATTTTTAATGGGTTAATCAACTATAAACGACCATTTTCAATAGCTATGATGTTTGTTTACCAGAAGGTAATACCATAACACCCCTTAAAATCGCGGTAGGGAAGCTGCTCAGAATCCGTCGCTTAAGTCGCCCGTGTGGCGTGTGGACTTGAATTGCATGCAAAAACGCTCTCTACCGCGCAGCCGAAGGCCGAAGTGCAGCAGTGTAGCGGATGACAAGGGTCAATCCAGGGGAAATGCCCAGGTGTGTGGCAGGTGTTTTGTTTTTGAAGGTACCCATAGCCGTAGCCTCTGGTAATTTCACAGTTCGCGCGCTGGAAGGCTGGCCCATTTCGTTGGAGTTACCTAATTATATGTTATGGAAAATGAACATTTTCCAGTTCCCAAGCTGTTAGTCAGTACCAGAGGGTAGCAGATATATATATATATAATTTTATATACCCTCTGGTTATTTAACATAGCCATAGAAAATCACCATTTTTAATAGGTAAACCCAGGTAAACCATCTATAAATGGGTCATTTTCCATGGCTATGTTAAATAACCAGAGGGTATATATATATAATTATATATATATATATACATGTATTGGATCCCATCAACATTTGCTGCCCTGGACTGCCCTGGACATGACGGTGCCGGGCTTGGAGGGTCCAAAAACTTGGCTAAAAACAGGGTACCCGGCCTGGTAAACTGTTACATAACGAACTGGAAAGATCCACCATTTTTAATGGGTAAATCCATGTAAATCCACTATTTCTATGGCCATTTTCAATAGCTTTCTGTAAACGTTTACCAGAGGGTAACATTTCTCAGAACAATACATAGCCATGTTTACAGCTGGGAAGATGGGTCAAAAACTCAGGCTCTCTGGGCTTTCACCTTGAAAAAAAACCCTTGGAAAGCTGCCAGCGCTGCCAGCGTCGCGGATCAAAAGCGCATCGGCACGGCCGACATCATCGACATCTGAGATATCTGAGTATGGTGCTGGAAACCGATCATTTTCCCTGATCGTTTTCGATGAACATCCAGCTATCGCAGTTATTTTGAACTAACATGAACTAACGTCAAAAGCCAGGCCCCTAAGCTTTGACCCAGTTTTTCTTCCAATGGTCTAGTTGGAGACCATTCATTGGTATGATTTACCCTCTGGTAATTGAACATAGCTATTGAAAAATGACCATAAAAATTGTTGATTTACCCAACTAAAAAATGGTGATTTTCCAATTCACAAACCAGTTATGAACAGGTAGGATCATGTCCGGATGACCATCCCATCTGACCTGACCTGAGCACTGGAGTGCTGGGGAATCATCCCAACTGACCCGCAAGTTTCAGATAGATATTTGATGATATGTGTATAATTACACTTGCAATGGCTAATGATTTGTATACTATATTATATATCAGTAGTATGATATATGTATATATAGTTATTTATATATTATAGTTATAAAATCAATGTTTATTCTCCAATGTATATATATATATACACACTGGTTGGTGGTTTGGACATATCCTTCACATTTCCCAGGATGATCCCCACATGATCCATAGATGTCCTTTTCTCATTGGTTGGTTGATTAATAGAGGGGTTTGAAGGTTTACCCCTTTAACAACAGGTATATTTCTATGATCATAGATATTGATAGATGGTATACCTGGTATACCAGCTGGTTTTTTCCAGCTCCCGGCCCCTCTATTTTTACCATAAAAGGACATTTTCTTGAGATGATCCATAAATTGCATGGGACAACAGCAGGACACCCCATGACACCCCTCCCAGTAGAAAGCCATGGTTTTTTTGTGGAGATTCTCCCCCAGTTTCACCAGTGAGTTTTATGAGTGACAGATGCATTTTTTTTGAATGGGCCCATCCCATCCACAGGGAAGCAACATATGACATGTGAGCTGCTGGGGAAACCATTGCTCTGGCCCAAAGTGACTCTTTTGAGAAAGAAACATCGATCACTTTCCAATGCGTTCTGACGCAACACCAAGGACCTTACTTGTAGCTGCCCTATAGAGATTTCTCTTTCAGTCGATGAATTCCTTCTTTCGCGCAGCCAAGACATGTCAAAACTCAGACCAAGGGTAAGGCAGGACACGAAAAAATCCGCCAAGACAAGCCACTTAACCCACCATTTTCCGAAAGCAACGATCATGATTGGTGGTGGCAGACATAGCTGCTATGTGGGGTCCGAAATACTATACCCCATGGTACGCCAAATTGAATGATTTATCGAACATCTGGGGTATACATCATTTTCAGCCACACCCGTACGAACGCCAAAGCCAAATCAGATCAATTGGAATGATACCCAGGTGACTTTGGTGGTGACTTGACCTTGGGTGTAGCACTTGCCTGGTAGGAGGGAGCAATATAAAGAGCTATGGGCAGAAAATGTGTCCATTTTCCTATGAAATGGGGCGATAGTTAGAGTGACCCCAAGTTTCCCAATCACATGATCGTTCATCTTCATGTCATCTTCATGTCATCAACTTGCTACCAGCCAGCAAGCTTAACATCCCATGGCGGGGTGGGCGCAGCTGAAACCATGAAGGCTGCGCCCAAGGCTGCTGGATATGTGGAGGATCCTGCCCTTGGCTTAGAAGCTGGGTGTGTCTGTTATTTCCCGAGCCATTGGGCCATTAGTTGGTGGCGTTCTGATGGAAATCGAAGTGCACCACTTGGGGGGCAAATCTGATCATCCTATTGTCTCCCAACATGTGCTAATCATCTTCTTGTCAAATCCCAAGTTTCAGGGTTTCATAGCTTCTTGCAGTTCTGTTGTGCTTCATTTTATGCCAACGTCTGCGTTGCATACCCTGCTAAAGCATGCTAAAACAAAGATAGCAACTGGTCATCTCAGTTGATTCAATAGATTTCAATAGGAAAATCAATGAAAATCACGTACAGCTTGGCAATGCTCCATATATATATATATGTATATCCACACACACAGATATATATATATATATATCAGTATATACGATGTTCTTTTGTAATGGGCCAATATGGACCATCATTTGAACAAGAAAATTTGAAATCTTCCTTGCAGGCCGAGGTGGCCGCGGACCAGCTCTGCGCCTGGGACGCCAACACCCGGCGCTTCGGGCTGCAGTCCCTAGGGCTGCTGGGCCCGGCCGCGGCGGAGCATGTGCCGGCCATGGCCAAGCTGCTGGAAGACGAGGAGCCTGAGGCGGGGATGGGGATGGGGAGGATGGGGATGGGATTGCTACATAGTATGTTCTTGTTAAATACGATACAAAGAAAAGTAAGTGGAACTAGGTGACTTCTTCTTTGTGGTTACCCTCTGGTTATTTAACATAGCCATGGAAAATGGTCCATTTATAGATGATTTTCCCAGCTAGAAACCTCCATTTATTTGGGGGATTTGCCAGCCAGCTATGTTAAATAACCAGATGGTACATCTAAATTTGGCAATCTAAGATGATCTAAGTTGTGATTTGGACCACTTACCAGCTATGTTAGTCATAACCAGATGGATCCAGATGGTAAATCCCCTATAAATCCCCTGTAAATCCCATTATATCCCCTATAAATCCCCATAAATCCCATTTTATCCCCTATAATTAAATCCCCTATAAATCCCCATTAAATCCCATTAAATCACAATAAATCCAGATTAAACCCAGATGGTAAGTCTCCAACGGTCCCCCTTATATCTTTAAGCAGAACTCACCAGGTGCGTCGCGCTGCTTGCGGTGCCCTGGGGCGAGTGAAAGGTGGCGCCAGCGACCTGGTGAAAGCCCTGAGAGATGCCGAGGTGAGACCATCCGAGGTCATGGATGTTTGATATATATAGGTGATATATCCCATGACGGAAACCATAGGCAAAACCATAGGAAAACCATAGGAAAACCATAGGAAAATGGAGGTTTAGCGATATTCATAATGGATTTTCCAATATTTTCCAATAGTTACTGTATGTTAGTCATAACCAGATGGTAAAGAAAAAACACTGGAATATACATTACTTGGGGAATCTATGTATAAAGACGATATATAGTGTACCCCCTAAACCCAATGGTTTTGCTGATCAGTATCCCTATTTTTAATGGCTATTTCATTGGGAATATAGCCTATTTTCAGACAAACCCATATAGGTGATATATCCCATGACGGATCCATGGTGCTGGTATATTAATGGTGCTCCATGGATCCCATATTTTATCATCAATATACCCCAAATGTAATAGCCTCTGGTAAACTGTTACATAACTATGGAAAGATCCACCATTTTTAATGGGAAAACTCACTATAAATCACAATTTTCAATAGCTATGTTAAATTACCAGAGGGTAGTTGATATATTGGTTATACAATTGTCAACTATATGACCCAGTATGCATGTTGATATTTTACCTTTCAGAAATTTTCAGAATGTAGAAATGATGGGGCTCACAATCCAATGATGGCCATTTATTGGTATGATTACCCTCTGGTCAACTGTTACATAACGAACTGGAGAGATCCACCATTTTGTAGTTGGGTAAATCAACTATTTCGACTGGGCCATTTTCAATAGCGAAGCGTTAAATTACCAGAGGGTACTCCAAAGAAACGAAGAAAACATGAAAGATTTAGCAGAATTTCATCAGTAAAGCTAACCAAAGATACCCTAGAATCATGTTTTTTGAATCATCATTTACCCACAACAGTTTTGTTTACAGTATTTCACAATCTTTCATGGTGGATATAGATATATCAGATACAACATGGTTGGTGGTCTTGGATGGTCTTGGGCATTTCTTAGCCATCCTTGCAGAAGATTTTTCCAGGGAGTATTTTCAACCACCATAGTTAGTAAATGGATGTATAGCCTTCGTCGCCATTTTGATATATTTTGATGGGGTTAAAACAAGAACTTCCTACTGGAGATCATGGTGAACCGATGTGAACCGGGTGAGCGTTTCGTCTAAGCGATGGGATGATCACCAGTGATGGGATGGTGGAGCTCAGCATGGGAAGCGACGGACCCAGGACCCAGGACGGTCTTGTGATTTTTTCAGATCATGGTCACTGGGTCACTGGGTGGTTTGGAGCGACTTTTATGACTTTGAAAAGTTGGGAATGGAACATCCCTGACGAAGTCCATCATTCAGAGGGGTAGAAAACAAGATGAAGCCCACGAACCCGAATGCTCACACGTATGTTAATGGTACAGATGTCAATACACATGGTTATGCAGTCACGCACAATACCTTTCTGCAATAGTTTATTTGAACAGTCTTGTACATGTTCCCTTGTTACCAGTCGCAGTGTGGAATGTAAAGTGTAGAGTGGGGAGTGTAGAGTGTGTAAAGTGTAGAATGCGGAGTGTAAAGTGTAGAGTGTGGAGTATGGAGTGTAAAGTGTAGAGTGTGGAGAGTAGAGTGTGGAGTGTGGAGTGTAGAGTGTGGAGTGAGGAGTGTAAAGTGCAAAGTGTGGAGTGTGGAGTGTAAAGTGAGGAGTGTAAAGTGTGGAGTGAGGAGTGTGGAGTGTAAAGTGAGGAGTGTAAAGTGTGGAGTGAGGAGTGTGGAGTTTGTAAATTGTAGAGTGTGGAGTGTAAAGTGTAGAGTGTAAAGTGTAGAGTGTGGAGTGTAGAGTGTAGCGTGTGGAGTGGTGAGTGGAAAGTGTAGAGTGTGGTGTGTAGAGTGTGGAGTGTGGAGTGTAAAGTGTGGAGTGTAGAGTGTGGAGTGTGGAGTGTAAAGTGTAGAGTGTGGAGTGTAAAGTGTGGAGTGTAGTGTGGAGTGAGGAGTGCAAAGTGGAAAGCCTGGAGTGTAAAGTGTAAAGTGTGGAGTGTAGAGTGTTTAGTGTAGAGTGTAAAGTGTAGAGTGTGGAGTGTGGAGTGTAAAGTGTGGAGTGTAAAGTGTGGAGTGTGAAGTGTGGAGTGGAAAGTGTGGAGTGTGGAGTGTAAAGTGTGGAGTGTGGAGTGAGGAGTGTAAAGTGTAAAGTGTGGAGTGTGGAGTGTGAAGTGTAGAGTGTGGAGTGTGAAATGTGGAGTGGAAAGTGTAAAGTGTGGTGTGTAGAGTGTGGAGTGTGGAGTGTGAAATGTAAAGCGTGGAGTGTAGTGTAAAGTGTAGAATGTGGAGTGTGGAGTGTAGAGTGTAAAGTGTAGAGTGTAAAGTGTAGAGTGTGGAGTGTAGAGTGTAAAGCGACGAGTGTAAAGTGTGGAGTGAGGAGTGTAAAGTGTGGAGTGTGGTGTGTAAAGTGTGGAGTGTGGAGTGGAAAGTGTGGAGTGTGAAGTGTGGAGTGTAAAGTAAGGAGTGTGTAGTGTAAAGTGTGGAGTGTAAAGTGTAGAGTGTGGAGTGTAAAGTGTAGAGTGAGGAGCGAGGAGTGGAAAGTGTAGAGTGTAGTGTAAAGTGTGGAGTGTGGAGTGTAAAGTCTCAGGTGAGGAGTGAGGAGTGTAAAGTGCAAAGTGTAAAGTGTGGAGTGTAAAGTGTAGAGTGTGGAGTCTAAAGTGTAAATTGTGGAGTGTGGAGTGTAAAGTGTAGAGTGTGGAGTGCGGAGCTTCCCCCAAAGACACGGCGACGCCACAGGAAAACCAGAGACTCGAGACGAGACACGTGGGAGCACCAAAACGAACATTTCGTGCGAGACTTCCTCGCAATTTTGATATTTTCGACACGTTATCAAACAGGTTGGAATGTCACAAAGTGCCACGCCTGCCACGCAAAACGACATGACAACCTGCTTGGACACATTCGAATAGGAGATGTTTTCCAGCTTCCCCCATAGACACGGCGACGCCGCAGGAAAACCAGCGACTCGAGACAAGACACGTGGATGCAGAAAAACCAGCATTTCGTACGAGACTTCCTCCAATTTTGACATTTTTGACACATTATCAAACAGGTTGGAATGTCACAAAGTGCCACGCCTGCCACGCAAAACGACATGACAACTTCCTTGGAAACCTTCGAAAAGGAGAGGTTTTGCGGCTTCCCCCATAGACATGGCGAACCCACAGGAAAACCAGAGACTCGAGACGAGACACGTGGGAGCACCAAAACGATCATTTCGTACAAGACTTCCGGCGATTTTCACAGTTGGCAACATGACAAAAGGACAAGTTTTGCAGCTTCCCCCATAGACACGGCGAGGCCACGGGAAAACCAGAGACGCGAGACGAGACAGGTGGGAGCACCAAAACGAGCATTTCGTGCGAGACTTCCTCCAATTTTCACATTTTGTAGCTGCAAAATCGACATTTTCCTACGAGTTTTCCTTAGAACCTGAAAATTTGCAACCTCAAAATCGATGTTTCGTGCGAGGCTTCCGTCAATTTTCAGCACATCACACAAAATGCCACGCCTGCCACGGAATTTGCACCTTGTCACCACTTGACGCAGCCCTGCCAATGCGATTTGCAAAAAACACGCAACAGGACACGTCTAAAGTGCTGCGCCTGCCACGAAAAATGACGATGGACACGTCCAAAGTGCTGCGCCTGCCACGAAAACTGCAACACATCTTCTGACAACGTCACAAAAGTATTGCGCCTGCCACGCAAAACGACTTTCGACACGTTCCAGAACACGTCTGAATGTCACGAAGTGCCACGCCTGCCACGCGAAACGAAGCAACGACACGTCTGCAACCCCCAAAAAGGACCACCTCTGCAGAACTTCCCATAGGCACGGCCATACGGGGATCGCTCGAACGGTTGCGAACAGTTGCGAACGGTTGCGAACGGTTGCGAACGATTGCGAACGGTTGCGAACGGTTGCGATCGTGAACGCAACGTCGAGCGAACACACCCTCAACCCCCAGACCCCCAGAGTGAAACGGGAACCCTTGCTACGCATTCGGGAAAAACACCAACCAGATCATGGTTTAGATCCGTTTAGATCCGATTTTTTTTCGGTGAAGTCTGAGATCCATGCGGCATATCCAAGATATTCCAAGATCTTGGCGCCCCAAGAGATAGAATCGGAGGATCCAAGTTGACAACTTGGGTGATCCCAGCCAGAGGTGGTTCATGGCCTATCCTTACAGCTCTGTGGTGAGAGGAAAGACAAGTTTACTGGGAGTCGAGCTTTTGGATGATTGGTGGATATTTTTTTTCGATGGTTGGTTTCAAGATATTCCCAAACTGTCCACCTCAAAACGTCCTCAAATACGAGTTGTTCACCCTTCATTGATTCTAGCCATTCAACTTGCGGAGCCACACTTTTCTGGACAACTCTATATAATATAATATAACATAACATAATATAATATAATATAATATAATATATAATATAATATAATATATATATATACATATCACATACATATATATATATAATAATATATATATATATATATATTATTATATATATATATTATTATATATATATATATATATATATCATCATATATCTTTACCCATGTTTCGGAAAATCTTGAAATGTGTCCCTTGTGGCTGCGGGTACCTCAAACGGAGAGTCGGCCTTTTTGGGGGCGGCTCAGCTGTGTCAGGCAGGCGTCAGAGCCGAGGCAGCGACAGCCCTCGGTGGCCAGGCCAGTGGTGGATGGGGAAAATATGGTGCGTCTTTGAGCATCTTTAAGCCACGAAATGATGTGTGGATTTTTTTTGGACCTGTGAAGCCATCTACTGATTCTACTGGGAACAGGAGTGGAACAGGCTTTCAACGAGGCGCTGGAACGGTCACCCTGCAGCTTTTCATCAGTTCAACTAGGTAAACCATGGTTGGGTAGGTTCAATGGGTCATAGTTGCTGTTATAAAGTAGTCATTATTCAATCTTGGTGTTTTTTTTCAAGTGAACTCTCTCATACCTGTGCCCCCAAAAAACCAACTTTTGTATCTATAAGATCAGTAGCCATGTCTAGTGAAACGGATGAAAATGGCAGCCGCTCAGCGCCATGCCGGGTTTCGTGGGGTTTTGGAGTTCCTGGTCCTGGCGAAACCGGGGGAAGCACTTGGCTTTCGCTTTTCCCCGGCGCATCCAGACTGCTGGCGGCGTGGGTCCCAAGAACTGTGCTGCAAACAGAGCGGCTGCTGGGATGACTTTTGGAATCCTGCCAGATGCTGCCTGGGCCAAATTGAACTTCCTGAAGTCCCAGACTCCGATTGTCTGGGCCCCATGCCTGGACTGGAAGACCTGGTTCTGTCCGAGCCGTCCCAAGAACGGCCCTTTGTCTTTCTGTGGGATGAAAAGACCGGTGGCACGACGTTCAATGATTGGCTCCTGGCTTCCTCCTCACAGTTGGGACGCTTGAATTCCACTCACATCTCGGATTTCGGATGGCCTAATGTCATTGGAACTCCATTTTTTCTGAAGACCTATGAGAGATCAAAACTTGAATCCTTGCAAATCCTATCTGCCACAGTTGATTGGAACATATTTTCCGCACTTGGCTGTGCTCCCAAGCGCCGGCCCAGCTGTTTGATTTTGCTGCGAAACCCTGTGGACCGGTTTCTGTCCTATTACCTCGAGCGATCAGATCGGATATTGGAAGGTGGTAGCCTTCCGATCCGCATGCTTACCAATTTTTCCCTGCAAGAGTTCCCTGATTCTGACCTTGTCCGCTGATTAACGTTGATTGATGTTGATTCATTCATATATCTTATAGAATGTTGCTTTTTATGCCGATTTGTGTTGGTTTATGTTGATTCACACTGCCTTGCTTCATTGCTTTTGCCTTACCTGTCCTCTCACATTTTTTTGCTCAAATATGAAGGAAAAGGGGCCAACATCCCCAGGTTCGAAGAGTATCTGGACTCGGTGCGCTTCGATCGCTTCTCGGAAGAGCTGAGGGCAGGATTTTGTTCTTTTCTTTCCAATCCACAAGTTTTTGATGATGGACCATATTTAATATTTTATTAGTTTTGATTATATATTTGACATATTTTGACACCCAACAATAAACAATACTATGCCATGCCAACATAGTTCACTTCACAACATGGTGTTGCTGTTTTTTGTTTACTGAATAAAAATGACACAATAATTAGACAGTGGATACAATTAAGTTAAGGGTCTATTTTGAGTTTATATATTAACTAACTATAGGGCGATGACAACGGCAAAAACAGCAACTGCAACTTTAACTGCAACTGCCGCATAAATCAACAGCAACAACAACGCGAGCAGCACCGCAGCGATGCAGGAAAAACAATAAGCACAGCAAAAAGAGCAGCACACGAGACTTTACTTCGAGTGGTCCCCGTGCACCAAGTGACATTTGAAATATCAGTTCGTATATTTAAAAATCTGAATATTTAAATGTAGTTACCGTATATTCTATTATTCTGACATTCTGGCATTCTTTCTGCTCTATCTGACATATATTCTGGCATTCTCTCACGTGTTCGGGCCCGTGCTGCCTCCGGAGCTTGCGAGAGGGTGGGGAAATCAAGAGAAACAGAGCAAAACCAGCAGTAACAGGAGCAACAAGATTAACATATGTTAAAATCAAGAGCCACAACAACAACAAGAAGCAACCTACAACCACAACCAACAACCAACAACCAACACCACGACCACAACCACAACCACAACCACAACCACACTACAACCACAACCACAACCACAACATACCACAACCACAACAACCACAACAACCACAATCACAACCACAACCACAAGTGCAAGTACAAATAAAAGATAAGGTAAGCACAAACGTAGGCACAATTACTAGCACAAGTACAACCAGAAACAGAGACACCGGAGCCAAATGTAGTTCCCGTGCAACCGTTTCTTGACAAGTGTGGCCCAACAGTACCACAACCACAGAAACAACAGCCACTCAAAATGTAGCTCCAGCAAAATCCATGCCCTAACCACGTCATATAATAGAATGGGCTAGCGCCCTGGTGCCGCCGACCCCCCTATTTGGGGGTCCTGTAGAGAGAGGGAGAGAGATAGATGGATGGATGGATGGATGGATGGCTGGCTGGATGGATGGATGGATGGATAGGTAGAGAGATAGAGAGAGAGAGAGATAGACAGATAGATATATAGACAGTTGGATAGACAGATAGATAGATGGATAGATAGATAGATGGATAGATAGATAGAGAGGGAGAGAGAGATAGATAGATGGATGGATGGATGGATAGATAGATAGATAGATAGATAGAAAGATAGGTAGATAGATGGATAGATAGATAAGGTTTTGAGGGTTTTGAGGGTTTGAAGCCGGGCAAACGGCAGTCTTGAACCCCGTGAAAAACGATGGCAGGGGCATGTAGCTGGAAGAGTAAGAGTTGTTGCCTTGGAAAGGCCTGCGGAAGCGTTTGGAGGGTTTGGAGGGTTTTGAGGGTTTGAAGCCGGGCAATCGGCAGTCTTGAACCCCGTGAAAAACAGATGGCAGGGGCATGTAGCTGTAAGAGTTGTTGCCTTGGAAAGGCCTGCGAAAGCGTTTGGAGGGTTTTGAGGGTTTTGAGGGTTTGAAGCCGGGCAAACGGCAGTCTTGAACCCCGTGAAAAACAGATGGCAGGGGCATGTAGCTGTAAGAGTTGTTGCCTTAGAAAGGCCTGCGGAAGCGTTTGGAGGGTTTTGAGGGTTTTGAAGGTTTTGAGGGTTTTGAGGGTTTGAAGCCGGGCAAACGGCAGTCTTGAACCCCGTGAAAAACAGATGGCAGGGGCATGTAGCTGTAAGAGTAAGAGTTGTTGCCTTTGAAAGGCCTGCGGAAGCGTTTGGAGGGTTTTGAGATGCTTTGAGGGTTTTGAGGGTTTGAAGCCGGGCAAACGGCAGTCTTGAACCCCGTGAAAGACAGATGGCAGGGGCATGTAGCTGTAAGAGTTGTTGCCTTGGAAAGGCCTGCGGAAGCGTTGGAGGGTTTTGAGGGTTTTGAGGGTTTGAAGCCGGGCAAACGGCAGTCTTGAACCCGGTGAGAAACAGATGGCAGGGGCATGTAGCTGTAAGAGTTGTTGCCTTGGAAAGGCCTGCGGAAGCGTTTGGAGGGTTTGGAGGGTTTTGAGGGTTTGAAGCCGGGCAAACGGCAGTCTTGAACCCCGTGAAAAACAGATGGCAGGGGCATGTAGCTGTAAGAGTTGTTGCCTTAGAAAGGCCTGCGGAAGCGTTTGGAGGGTTTTGAGGGTTTTGAAGGTTTTGAGGATTTTGAGGGTTTGAAGCCGGGCAAACGGCAGTCTTGAACCCCGTGAAAAACAGATGGCAGGGGCATGTAGCTGTAAGAGTAAGAGTTGTTGCCTTTGAAAGGCCTGCGGAAGCGCTTGGAGGGTGTTGAGGGTTTTGAGGGTTTGAAGCCGGGCAAACGGCAGTCTTGAACCCCGTGAAAGACAGATGGCAGGGGCATGTAGCTGTAAGAGTTGTTGCCTTGGAAAGGCCTGCGGAAGCGTTTGGAGGGTTTGGAGGGTTTTGAAGGTTTGAAGCCGGGCAAACGGCAGTCTTGAACCCCGTGAAAAACAGATGGCAGGGGCATGTAGCTGTAAGAGTTGTTGCCTTGGAAAGGCCTGCGGAAGCGTTTGGAGGGTTTTGAGGGAGGGTTTGAAGCCGGGCAAACGGCAGTCTTGAACCCCGTGAAAAACAGATGGCAGGGGCATGTAGCTGTAAGAGTTGTTGCCTTGGAAAGGCCTGCGGAAGCGTTTGGATGGGTTTTGAGGGTTTGAAGCCGGGCAAACGGCAGTCTTGAACCCCGTGAAAAACAGATGGCAGGGGTAGCTGTAAGAGTTGTTGCCTTGGAAAGGCTGTAAGAGGGTTGTCTTGAACCCCGTGAAAAACAGATGGCAGGGGCAAGGCCTGCGGAAGCGTTTGGAGGGTTTTGAGGATTTTGAGGGTTTGAAGCCGGGCAAACGGCAGTCTTGAACACCGTGAAAGACAGATGGCAGGGGCATGTAGCTGTAAGAGTTGTTAACTTGGAAAGACCTGCGGAAGCGTTTGGAGGGTTTTGAGGGTTTTGAGGGTTTTGAGGGCTTGAAGGCGGGCAAACGGCAGTCTTGAACCCCGTGAAAGACTCAAAGACAGATGGCAGGGGCATGTAGCTGTAAGAGTTGTTGCCTTGGAAAGGCCTGCGGAAGCGTTTGGAGGGTTTGAGGGTTTTGAGGGTTTGAAGCCGGGCAAACGGCAGTCTTGAACCCCGTGAAAGATGATGGCAGGGGCATGTAGCTGTGATAAGTGTGAGTAAGAGTTGTTGCCTTGGAAACGCTTGCGGGAGCGTTTGGTTGAGCCCCATGATGGCAGGGGCATGTAGCTGTAAGAGTTGTTGCCTTGGAAAGGCCTGCGGAAGCGTTTGGAGGTTTTGAGATGCTTTGAGGGTTTTGAGGGTTTGAAGCCGGGCAAACGGCAGTCTTGAACCCCGTGAAAAACAGATGGCAGGGGCATGTAGCTGTAAGAGTTTGTTGCCTTGGAAAGGCCTGCGGAAGCGTTTGGAGGGTTTTGAAGGTTTGAAGCCGGGCAAACGGCAGTCTTGAACCCCGTGAAAAACAGATGGCAGGGGCATGTAGCTGTAAGAGTTGTTGCCTTGGAAAGGCCTGCGGAAGCGTTTGGAGGGTTTTGAGGGTTTGAAGCCGGGCAAACGGCAGTCTTGAACCCCGTGAAAGATGGATGGCAGGGGCATGTCACTGTGATAAGTGTGAGTAAGAGTTGTTGCCTTGGAAACGCTTGCGGGAGCGTTTGGTTGAGCCCCAGATGGCAGGGGCATGTAGCTGTAAGAGTTGTTGCGTTGGAAAGGCCTGCGGAAGCGTTTGGAGCGTTTTGAGATGCTTTGAGGGTTTTGAGGGTTTGAAGCCGGGCAAACGGCAGTCTTGAACCCCGTGAAAAACAGATGGCAGGGGCATGTAGCTGTAAGAGTTGTTGCCTTGGAAAGGCCTGCGGAAGCGTTTGGAGGGTTTTGAGGGTTTGAAGCCGGGCAAACGGCAGTCTTGAACCCCGTGAAAAACAGATGGCAGGGGCATGTAGCTGTAAGAGTTGTTGCCTTGGAAAGGCCTGCGGAAGCGTTTGGAGGGTTTTGAGGGGTTTTGAGGGTTTGAAGCCGGGCAAACGGCAGTCTTGAACCCCGTGAAAGACAGATGACAGGGGCATGTAGCTGTAAGAGTTGTTGCCTTGGAAAGGCGTGCGGAAGTGTTTGGAGGGTTTTGAGGGTTTGAAGCCGGGCAAACGGCAGTCTTGAACCCCGTGAAAAACAGATGGCAGAGGCATGTAGCTGTAAGAGTTGTTGCCTTGGAAAGGCCTGCGGAAGCGTTTGGAGGGTTTGGAGGGTTTTGAAGGTTTGAAGCCGGGCAAACGGCAGTCTTGAACCCCGTGAAAAACAGATGGCAGGGGCATGTAGCTGTAAGAGTAAGAGTTGTTGCCTTGGAAAGGCCTGTGGAAGCGTTTGGTTGGTTTTGAGGGTTTTGAGGGTTTGAAGCAGGGCAAACGGCAGTCTTGAACCCCGTGAAAAACAGATGGCAGGGGCATGTAGCTGTAAGAGTTGTTGCCTTGGAAAGGCCTGCGGAAGCGTTTGGAGGGTTTGGAGGGTTTTGAGGGTTTGAAGCCGGGCAAACGGCAGTCTTGAACCCCGTGAAAAACAGATGGCAGGGGCATGTAGCTGTAAGAGTTGTTGCCTTGGAAAGGCTTGCGGAAGCGTTTGGAGGGTTTTGAGGGTTTTGAGGGTTCGGGCAAACGGCAGTCTTGAACCCCGTGAAAAACAGATGGCAGGGGCATGTAGCTGTAAGAGTTGTTGCCTTGGAAAGGCCTGCGGAAGCGTTTGGAGGGTTTGGAGGGTTTGGAGGGTTTGAGGGTTTTGAGGGTTTGAAGCCGGGCAAACGGCAGTCTTGAACCCCGTGAAAAACAGATGGCAGAGGCATGTAGCTGTAAGAGTTGTTGCCTTGGAAAGGCCTGCGGAAGCGTTTGGAGGGTTTTGAGGGTTTGAAGCCGGGCAAACGACTGTCTTGAACCCCGTGAAAAACAGATGGCAGGGGCATGTAGCTGTAAGAGTTGTTGCCTTGGAAAGGCCTGCGGAAGCATTTGGAGGGTTTTGAGGGTTTGAAGCCGGGCAAACGGCAGTCTTGAACCCCGTGAAAGACAGGTGGCAGGGGCATGTAGCTGTAAGAGTTGTTGCCTTGGAAAGGCCTGCGGAAGCGCTTGGAAGGTTTTGAGGGTTTTGAGGGCTTTGCGGGTTTGAAAGCGGGCAAACGGCAGTCGTGAACCCCGTGAAAAACAGATGGCAGGGGCATGTAGATGGCTGGGGCATGTTGCTGAGAGAGTTGTTGCCTTGGAAGGGCGTGTGCCTTTGCCTTCGACCAGAGAGCCAAGTTCCACACCTTCGGTGGTCCCAGGCGCCACCCCTTTCTTGGCAAAGGCCGGGGTCGGCGGATAAAATTCAGATAAACTCCTAACAGCCCTAAATGAGGGCGGGTAGGCATGGGTGTGTCATCGGACTGGCACCAGGAAAACCTGTTGCTGGCAAAATCACTGGCAAAAGTGGCCCCTCAGCGCAGGATTAAATATAAGTAATGTTGGTTTATGTTGCTTGTTTTCTCATGGATCGCAGGTTCTGTCACAAACTAATGGCAGTTCCTTTCCCGTCAAAAAAAATTCTAAAACACATGCACCTGTCTACCTCAAAGTGCCGGAACAGTTGGGGTAGTATTATGTTAAAATACCGTTGAAGTTCCGACACATGCTATCTCGGGAGATAGTATATCCCTTTGGGTGATGAATTCCCCCATTGGTTCCTGCTAAAACCGCGTCATTTTCTGGCTTCAAACCCAGTTATTCCGCGTTGTTCGGGGACAAAACCAACTTTTCCTTTGACGGTTCCTTTAACAAAGGGGGGTAGCCCAAAATAGATGATTGATTTCATGGGAAATCCATCTATGGATGATAAGTGACAACTGTGTTTTTTTTCCCCATGACTTTGGAAACTTGAACAAATCGCAAAACCCCGAGGTTTGCGTTTCAGTGGTTCCGAGACGGGTCTCTTTTGCAACACGGAGAACGGCCAGTTGTGCCTCGATGACGCCAGCACAGCGGAAGCGTCGGAGGGCGGACCTGAGACTTTTGCTTTCAGGCTTGGTGGGCATGAAATGATGGGGCTCACAATCCAGTAATGGCCATTTAATGGTATGATTACCCTCTGGTAAACTAACGTAACTATGGAAAGATCCACCATTTTAAACGGGTAAATCCACTATAAATGGCAATTTTCAATAGCTATGTTAGTTTACCAGAGGGTACTATCCAGATCAAGATCAATATCTATGCAAATCAATAGAAAAATCAATCCCATAATTGAACTCTCATTAGATTGAGTATAATGAAATGATGGGGAAGATGAGAATCAACTATTGTACTATCAAAATCAATGTCGACAATAGCAGATCTAATTCAAACAAGAAAACATGTCGCAAGAAATGCGCTGATTCTCAAGCGACGTTCTTATTTCTTGGGAGGAAGGAGGTGCTTAATCATTTTTGGAAGAGAAACACGCAGTGCGGATTTCTGTCATTTCTGTATTTTCTGTCATTTCTGTCGGACGTGTCCTGTTTGTAGGAGCTTTGGTGGCCCTCAAAATCGCCTCGCACGCATGCTGGACCCACCATTGGGACGGATCTCAGTGGCAAAAGAACGGCTGAAACGATGCACAGTGAGCTTGCAAAATGAGGCGGGGCCATAGCATACCCTCTGGAAATCTAACCTGGTTGGTGGTTTGGAACATTTTTTTTTTCCATATGTTGGGAATAACGATCCCAATTGACTAAAATGTTTCAGAGGGGTTGACAGTTGAAACCACCAACCAGTAACATTGCCATGATAGTAAATGACCCATTTATTCATATTTATTCAGGGTTGCTCCCAACATCACAGGTACAAGGGGGATAAATTGGCAACATATATAAATAACATGGGTAAAATTGCCAAGGCTAACTTTCCTGGCTTTGGCTATCATTTACCATCATTTACCTATCGGCTGATCAACCCGTTTATCAAAAATGATGATTTTGCATGGCTATGTTAAGTTACCAGCTACCCTCTATGTCTGAGTCTAAGTTGAAGACCAAATTTTAATTTGGGGTTGCCCAATGTTGACTAAGTCGATTCAATTTAGGAGTTTTACAGAGTTTTACCATGTTTTACCCATTGCGATTTGGTCAGCCCCTCCAACGGTGCAGTGGAGAAACCTGCAGTGCCAAACCCTGTGAGGACTTTTCGAACCACTTGCGTGTTCTACGCAAATTTCAGCCCTGGATCAGTCAGGTTCACTTCGCAGACTCCGACGCAAGCATGCAGAACAGCTACAATCGTACCCGGTTTGGTTTTCCTATTTTTAATGAATAATAGCCCAATTTGGATGGTTATATAGGTTATGATTGCTATTTTTATTTCAATCGTCTTTTTTCCCTATTTTTGTCCTATTTCATTCCCATTTGGACCGATTAGCCCAATCGACTGATTCTCTTGGTGGCTTCAACGAGGTAGGGAGTCTGCATACTTGCGAGACCACTTGCCAGAAGCCTTTCGTCGGGCCATCGCAGAGTTCAATTCAGCAGATATGGAGTTGTATCATCAAGGTCAGGAACTGGGAAATGCATGGAAATGCCGAAAAGGGATTCAACATATTCAGACAATCGCCTGACTTTTTATGTTGTTTTTCTCATCGACTCGTAACTCCTAACCTACAACTGCACCGAGCCTACTTCAACTTACATCTAACTGGGGTTATGAGTTATGGCACATGTACTGAGTGAAGCATCAGGTGTTTTTCCGGGTTGGAGAGCCGCTGTAGGAGTGGAACAATTCTACCAGCAAGTGACCCTGGCGCGGAAGAATAGCCTGCTACCGGTCAGTAGCCTGTGGCCAGAGAGCATCACTTTGCCGTCCAAGGATTGGGAGGTGTGCAAGGGTCCAACAAAATGTTCAAGGCTACTGTTTGGTGAAAGATGGAACGTTGGAAGTTGGAAAGTCTCATAGTTTACTGAAGTTCTCATGATTTCACTTAGTGGATGTTCTATGATTTTCTATGTTTTTTTTCCGTTGCATGAGCAATAAAACTGTAGATTGCGAGGGTAGCCCCAAATGTCCCCAAACTTGGAGGCTTTCAGATGCAGTGACGATCGTCTTGGATTCAGTCATTGGGTATCGTTTATGGTCTTAGGGTTGTCAAATGGATTCACTGATCCTAAACAACATGGAGGGGTGATTGAAGTGGAAATAACTAATAGTGAAGATGATGATGAAATACCTCATGGTTATAATCAACCATTGTGAAGATGATGATGAATTCATGGTATTTCCGGTTTCTCCATTTGGAGACAACCCCCATCAATCAAGCCCCTGTCTCTTTACCATGGTTTGTGACCCCCCCAGGTGACGTGGCGTTTTTTTCAAGAGGAACTTCCAACCACTTTCTTCATCCGTCGCCTGACACGATGCCGCATCACACGCTTGGCGTCCCAATGTGCCAAACTGGTAGGGGAGTCCATGCCAGACGGGGTGGATTACCAGCTGCAGCCGGAACTCACTGAGCACATTCTTCAGGTCATCAGTCATGAGTTCTACCAACGTCCACCTCAAGAGTTCTATCAGTCACGAAGACCTGAAGACGGATGTTTTGAGTGGTTTTTTTAAGTGGTGACAGTGGGTCAAGACCTGCGCAGAGCTTTCTTTTTGCATTGCACTTCTATATTTCAGCAGTTTTTAGATGTTTTTAGTCTAAAATCTATTCTACTTATATATAATATATATATATACCCAGGACTTCCTGGCCGTGGTCTAACCATGATCCAGCACAACGTCGTGGTTTTACCAGAATCCATGCTTATATTCTGATCTAAGGAGTAACTCATCATTTCATGATGCTGGCTGCTATTCCAAGGTTTCTGATGCTCTGAAAGATATCACCTTTAGCTGAATTTAGCACACAAATGTGTGGAAGCTGGTGGTTTTAGCAGCCGTGATCACACCGTGAGACAACCGTGAGACACCGTGAGACCCCCCCCCGAACGTCGTGATTTTGTGTATTGGCGTCAAGGTTTTACCGTGAGACAACCGTGAGCCAACAGTGACTAACGGCTACCCTGTGTGTGTCTGGTGGTATAGACACGAGAATGATGATGGTGAAGCATACACTTTACTTGATCAACATGTGTTTTAATGCATGAACATGAGAGTGATGATGATAAAATCGATACCTTAATTTGACGATGTATGCACGTCGTGGTCTTACCGTGTCTTTCGTCTACCTCGTGGTTTAACTATGTCTTTTGAAGTCCTGGGTATATATATATAGGCATTTGGGGGGCGGATAGTAGCAGCTGAAATGACAACCATTGAGACCCAGACCAGAACGATTTTGTTGCGACTTTGTTGGTGAGCCTTGGCCATTCACATCCCTCGTTTGGAATCATGAGCCCAGCCCACACCACACCATCGGAAGCGGATAGATGACACAGTTTCTAGCTCCATCAATGCATCCCCCATTGACTTGTGCACATTTTTGAGAGGGGTGGCTCACCCACCAATCAGTTTTGCTGCTTAACAACCCGTGAAATCCCAATTTTGATATATATTTTTGCTGTTGAAACATGGTGAAAAGGTCGGTAAAACCTCCATTTCATACTAGTTAAATCATGTTGAATAGTATTAAATCATGTTAAGTCATCTTAAATCCCCATGTTTCACATCTTTCAATGGCCTTTCGCCTCAGGCTCCGGAGCCACGACTGGATGCGGCTCCACGGCAGCGACGCAAAGGGGGCTCCGCACCGCGTGGTGGCGCTGCCGGACTTCGGGGAACTACTGGACGACGCCTGGGGTGAGGCGCAGCGCAGGCTGCGGTGAAAACGACGCGCAAAAAATTCGGGAGCGCTGGATGGGGAACAGCTGATAAAAAGATGGTGGTTGATGATGGTTGATGGGAAAATTCAAAGATGCCCAAAGTGACGTAGGTCTAGGACATGGTTATGATGGGAAGTTACGATAGAGAAATTGCCCCAAGACCATTCAAAGCCCAGCAGTTGATCCACTTGATGGTTGATTCTCAGAGCAGAGAAACCGAGAGAAACTATCCTGGCCACAAAGCCATTCGAAACGCGTGGCTGCACATTTGCAGCCACTTGTGTAAACAATCTATTTGGATCTATTTGGTCCGTTGGTGTTTTTTTTTGAAGGGCTTAAAACCATTAAAATCCCCTGCGGCTTCGCAGCTGCTTGACATGGTCATCCGGACTCCAAGTGGTTTGATTTTCCATCAGATTTGAGTCCATCAGACCCCAATTGACACGGACTTGAATCCTTTTTGGATGGGCTGCAAGCAGTGTTTTAGACAGGGCAAGTGGGTCATATGGGATGCCCCACAGTGGAGATTCAAGGGTTTGTTGTTGGCATTTGCCATGCCATGGAAAAACCCCGGATTAATAAACCATGATTTATGAAAAACCATGGGGGTACTCCTCCAATAGTCATAATATGTCATAACCTGATACTTAAATGGTACCCTCCCATTTAAACAGCCCAGGGGTTTATTAATCCAGGGTTGACATGAACTTGTGGAATTGAAAGTTTTCAGATGTCTTCAACTCTTCCCAGAAAAGGCCACGTCCCAAAAACCCTTCCAAAGAAATTATTTCAGTGCAGGAGATGCGGTATCACAATTTTCATGGTAGGAAATACCTGATTTAGGAAGCTGGGAAGATTTTGCACCTTGCATGTTTCTGACCCTCATCGCGGGGCTCTGTTATTTCACAGTAGACGGATTTTCCTAGAACTCACTGCCATGGGTCAAAATATGTCAAAATTGGGTACCCGAAAAACCAGATGGCTCATACTAGTGCCGAAAATCTGTGGTTTTCGGGGCATTCATTTTTGGCCCATACTATCTGAACATTGGAAGGTGTTGTTTTTATTGTTACTGGTTGGTGGTTTGGAACATGACTTTTATTTTTCCATTCAGTTGGGAATGTCATCATCCCAACTGACGAACTCATATTTTTCAGAGGGGTTGCAACCACAAACTAGTATTTGATGTATATATTTGATATTTGTCTATCAACAGAAAGCGCTTGGATGACAAAGAAGTGTCCAATCATTGCCACTGGCGCCATGTCCATTTCATACAGCCACATCATGGTGTCCGGATTAGCGGCTCAAATTCTCTTGGCGTTGGTGGTTCTTGGTTACCGCCAAAGCATTTTGCATACTTTCTGAGTTGATCCCCATATCTTCCCTTGACAACAATAGGCATTTTGCATGTGGCCATCCAAACACCATCGCAAAAACGAGGAACTAGATGCACTGGTTTGTTGAATGGTATTCAAGCCCACATCTATTGATAAATATTGTAATGTGACTAGTATACTATTAGCCTCCTGTAAACTGACATAGATGTGGAATGATGTGGAAAACCCAGCATTTGTAGATCATTTCCCTAGGGAAACAGTGAAACCGTGGGTTTTCCGGGCGTCGGTACCAGGCTCTGCCCGCCGGACAGCTCACTTCCCTCGCATCCATGGCCAAGGCTTTGGGATGGGAACCACAAAGCCATGGAAAGCCATGGCACCAATTTGGCCCGGATTCTGGGATGATGTTTGAATATGTTTGATACTTTTTGCGTCTGCTTTTGGGAGTTTGATGGATTTTTTGGGAGTTTGGTGCTGCATTTTTTTGGAAAGTATTGGTATGGTAAAATTTCATCACGACCCCACCGCGACCTCACTGCGACATGACGGGAAATGGATTTGGGTAACTGTCCTTGTGGGTGGACCCCTTCAGGTTAGTGATTTTTTTTATAGATTATTGTAATCGATGGAGATGGCTGTGTTGGGGATGTAGGAATTCCATTAAATTCCCAAATAATATGGATGTTTACAGACATCCGATACGAGTCCTCTATTACTGACAATTGATGTGGTTGTGACACCTTCGAGACAGTTTTTTTTTTGCTGCAATTTGGGTTGATTCCCCTGTTTCTGCAAATTAAAAGCATCACAATGTTTGAATGAAACTGCATCATTTCTCGATTGGCATTTCAATTTTGGCACTTGCATTCTGAATTTGTGTGGATCTGATATATATATAATACACATATTATATATCTTATATATATAATATATTCTTTAATATTTGACTATTAGAATTGTAGGAACAGCTAGCTGGAAGGGATTCATATGGATTGTTTTGTTTAATGATGTATACCAGCCAGTATCATCTTGTACCGTTCACCTCCTGGTTTGTGCCAGGACGTAGATCAGGAGGTACAGCTGGCTGCAGTGAAGTCTTTGGCCACGCTCAACCAGGCGACGGAGCTGGCAAACATAGACATCTTTAAAGGCGGTTTGCGCCGGACCAAATGCCTGAAGTTTGTCGGTTCTATTCCGATTCTTGGTCTTCTTGGTCTATTTCGATCAATCTCGTGGATTTTTTGTTCGGGATAGTTGGATACAGGGTTGGATGAAAAAGAAGCCCTGAGTAAGGAATGAATTTCTCACTAACTGGGTCAAGGAGGTTGCCTATACCATTTGAACATCCCTGGATATCCTGGATCAGACATGATCAAACACAACATTCTCTCTGTTTTCCTGGGTCGATCTGAGGCCACTGCAAGGAACCAAAATCAGCAGCTGAAACACATTGGAACCATTTTCTTGTAACCCATTGTAACCCGTAACCCTTTTGGAAGGATTTGATCATAATTCTCCAACATTTCTACTTCTACATTTTTTTGTGCAGAAAAATATCATGTTTTTTCCCGCTTTGGAGGCAACATATTTGGACCAGTTCATGCTCAGCGGCTTTCCGACGGTGTGCAGCTCAGGGCTTTTGAAAAGGGAATGTCATTGGATCCATATTGCCATGGTCAAAACTCAAAACATGGTGTGTTTCCCCACAAAGAGGGAATTTGGTTGATATATGTTGATATTTAATATGCCCATGATGCTTACCCATATAATCCCATACACCGCGTTTTGACTATAGCACTATGAAATACATAGAAATGATGAAGTGCGTTGCCCCTGTGAACCCTCATTAAATACAAGTGAAATACTTTGGCGGATTTTTAGCTAAACCAAGTCTGTGTATTTTCAGTAAGAATATATACCCTCTGGTAATTTAACATAGCTATTGAAAATACCCCATTTATAATTGATTTACCTATTTAAAATGGTGATTTTCAATAGCTATGTTAAATTACCAGAGGGTAAATACGAGGATATTTGCCTGGCAGGAAAATGGATTTGTCTGAAAATTTTTGGTCGCCAAAATCCAACGGTTTATCAGCATCTTTCCGGTTGTATTTGATGGTGGGATTCCATCAATGGGGGTTCACCCCAAAATGGACGCCCCAAATGGTGGGAAATCTTGCTGAACATCCAAAAGTGCGTCGATAGATTTTTGTTCATCAGTTATAGAGGAAAACCTAGTCTTCCATCATCAGGCTTGGGTACCGCCTGTGTGAAGCTTTCCCAGTCCAGATATAGGTCCCAAAGTAGTGAATACTCAAAAAGTGATCCAAAAATGGATTGGTGAAAAAAATAGGGGGTTACCCCCAGTTATCATCCATGTTTAGTAAGATTTCCCACCAGTTGGCCCAAGGCCCCAGGTCGTCCATAGCCCAGGTGGTGCGCGCCGCCGTAATGGAGGCAGATGGCCTGGGGTCAGCTGGATTCAGCTGGATGGCCGGTATGGCTAGCTGCGGCTACGGGACATGATGTAGAAATGGAGGATCGAAACCATTGCCGTGTTTGATAAAATCCGGTCCTGGTTGATGAATTATTGATGAATTTTGGAAGTTCCGCAAAATTGTGATGCCATTTGGCACGAAAATGGTACCCCGCTATTTAAACAACCCAGTGGGTTACTAATTAATCTGGAGTGGACAGTATACAATGGACCTAAGCTGAGATTTTCTTGGAGAAAACGACTGGATATTTTAAGAATGATGATGACGATACGATGATGGCGACGACGATGATGATCATGATGGTGATGATGATGGTGGTGATGATGATGATGATGATGATAATGATGATGATGATGATGATGATGATGACGACGTCGATGATGACGATGATGACGATGATGGTGATGATGGTGATGGTGACCATGATGGTGATTATGGTGATGATGGTGTTTTTTTGGGGGCAATAGAGTCTGACCCACACCCAAGTGTCCATGACGAAAGCAGGAATCATGCTTGCCAAGTGACAATCATGATCAATTATGTGGGATCGGTTTACACCAACAGCCAGTTGTTTGAAAATCTTTCGAGCACTCAAACCCTTTCGATTTGAAGCCCACCGACAGATGGGTCGTTGTCCCCTTGCACGTCAAGAACACTCCAGCTGTTTAAGTACGGCGCTGTCGCACGAGGCGGAACGATGCAGATCGCTTGCCATGAACCTAGGGGGTAGCTACATGCATACATATGCTACATGGTACATCTGGGAAGAAACACTCTGGTGTCCAACAAATAACCTGTGTTTCCAGGGATGTTTTTTCTTTCCATAACTTGTTTTGTTGGTCGTTGCTTTCCCCAAAGAATGCAGCGTCATAGTCCCAGATTCTGGAAATCAGGGGAGAAACAGAGCAATTTTCGAGTACAGAGCTATGTCTGCCTGGACCATCCATGAAATGTCAGTTTTAAGGATGCTAAACAGCTAAACCGGGCTAAACCAACCAATTGGATACCTACATCTACCATGCATAGCGCGTGAATCCGATAAATATGGCAATGGCAATGGCTGAGCCAACTCATGAAGTGGTGCTTGTGGGTGGTTTGTATGTACCCTTTGTGGTTCTTTAAGGTTTTGAAGTTGGTTAGCTGAAAATTGCTCGGATGCTCACCTAGCTGGGATATTTGTAGCTTCATCCATTCGGGCATCAAAATTTACGACAAGAATGGTGTCCCCCTATGTGGAGACAAACAGATTTAGATTTATACATCATTTTTCAATGTGGTAAACCCAGCAATAAGCGATCCCAGTACACAAGCATTTCGGGTCATTTTGCATCATCCAAAGTACTTGTGGTGGTATGCAGTTAGTATCCCAAATCATACACCCACATTCTGGAAGGTTTACCAGCTGCACTGTTGAATTTACCGCTTATCACATCCTCTCCATCCTCTCTCACCACCAATGCCATCCAATGCCCCCGTTTCTAGAACGGATCAATATGGATCAATGCAGGACGCATCCGTGCGCTTGGCGGCGGCTCAGGTGGGTGTCCACAGAGGTTCTTACGGCAAGTGTTAAAGGCCGGGGTTTGATCAGGGTGATCTGAGCAGGGTCCAAAACCTTCATTTGTTTTGTAAGAGCTGTGTCATATGGCTGTTTGGCCGGCGTAAGCAAAACGCTGGGTTTCTTAAGCTGGCGTACCGTAAGCATTTTGGTGAGAGATGCATGGCGTAAGCCCATGCGTAAGGCTGTCACGGCCGCGCAAGCAATTCCTTGCAGAGAAACCGCGTTTTGGGCACTTCAAGTCGCGTAAGTGTCGCGTAAGATTGTCTCACATCCCAAACCATTGTGCTCACGCAAGTAGCTTGCGAGTAGGCAAACCCATGCGACAGGCATTCGAGCAGACCTTTTGGACGCTGCTCATCTGGTCTGCAGCTTTTGACTGCGCAGGCTCGCACAAGATGGGCGGCACGGTTTTCTCTCTTCCGAAGGTGTCGTTTTACTAGCGAGCCGTGCTCGTTTTTTGAACTACTATGTCCATTTCGTGTAGCAGGCGTGGCACTTTCGGGACATTTTGAAGTCTGGAACGCTGTTTTGCGATGTTTTGCGTGTGACAGCTGCAGGACATCAGACCCTTTTTCATCCATGTGGCGGGCGCGGCAGTTCCTGCACGTTGCTAAAATGTTGGCAGGCGCGGGTTAGAAATGAGAGGTGGTTTTGGAGGTAATTTTGCGTGGCAAGCGCAGTGTTTGGTGAATTTGAAATATTTGAACGACGTTTTGACATGATCGAAAGATTCGAAAGTCTCATGTGTGAAACTGTCGTCAATTTGGGTTTTAGACATGATGATGATTCCGTGTTGCAGGTGCAGCACTTCACATGCCTCGGAGTCATTTTTCGTGGCAGGCATAGCACTTTGTAGACGTTGACCAAAAAGTGGCTGAGACCTATGGTAACGAGATGTAACGATATTTAAATGCCACAGGGCCCCGGAAGCAGTATGAGACACATTGAGACATCAGATCCATTCGTACATTTAAATTTATGTTTAAATAAATTTGGATTCTGTATGTTTAAATGGCCGGGCCCAAGGAAAACCTTCCAGGAGGTAGTCTAAAATACACGTTCGTATATTTAAAGATATACGTTTAGCTATATATATAAATATATAAATGTATGTAGTTACTGCAGGTAAAACATGGGAAAACATCGTTTTTGACATGTTCAATGTTCATGTTCATGTTTCGTGGTGCGCACACTGTCTTGTGAAAATGCTCACGCAACCCCCTCGTGACTTTGTGCTTGTCAGACCGCTCTCGTTGTGGCGCAGTGCGAATTTTGACATAGGTCGCGCAACCCTCTCGGCACTTTGCGCGTGTCGAATCGCTCTTGGTTTGGCGCGGTGCTGATTTTAGCTGATTTCCTGAGATTCTGGTAAAGAGATCTGATCTTATGAATATATGAATTCTCTGGAAGGTCCTGCTATGACGATCTTGCAAATGGTGCAGTCTTGGAGGTCCGTGATAATTATATGAAATATATTGACCAAGGTCTTGTTGAGGTCCTTGTGAGAAGATGTTGCGAAGGCCCTGCTGCAATCCTGTCAGAGGTCCTTGCATGATCTTGTGCAGGTCCTTATGACAAGATCTTGCGAAGATCCTGCTGACATCCTCAAAGAGGTCTTGCACCGGTCCTTCTAAGAAGATCTTATGGAGATCCTGGTGAAGTCCTCTCTGCTGTAAGAGGTTTTTGCATGATTTTGTACAGGTCCTTGTCAGAAGAACTTGCGGAGATCCTGGTAAGATCCTACCTAAGAGGTCCTTGCGTGAAGATCTTGCAGATGCCATATATGAAAGGTGCTTGTATGAAAGATCTTCTGGGATGCTCTTGGGAGGTTCTTCTATCAAGATCTTGCAAGATCCTCTCCGGCAGCAGCAGGTCCTTTTATGACGACCTTGTGGGATTCTCTTAGGGGCCCCGGCATGAAGATCTTGGTCCTGGTCTTTTACAATTCCTTTTGAGAAACTCTTGTAGTAGAGATCCTGGTGGCATCCTTTAAGAGATTAAGAGGTCCTTACGTGATCTCCTGCAGGTCTTGTGAGAAGATGTTGTGCAGACTTGCGTTGAGATCTTGAAGATGCTCTGGATTGGTGCTTGTATGAAAGTACTATTTGAAATGCTCAAAGGAAGTTCTTGTATGAACATTTTGTGAGATCCTCTATGTAGCAGGTCCTGGTATGGGGTTCTGGTGTGAGGTCCTGATGAGTAGACATAGCGTTGTCTACTGTGCCAAAACAAATTGCCAACCTGATCTGTTATTGTTCCATAGCTGTTGCTTGTATCTGGTACATTGACTTCACACCCCCGGCACTGTTTGGGGTCTCTTGCCAACGTATTTTTTTGACAAACAAGATGGATTGAACCTTAACAACTTTGTATTTCCGCATGCTGGTTGGGTTAAAACACCACTTTTTGGTGGTTACATGAAAATGGTTTCGGTGTGACAGAGAACCGGGTCATCATGGGCAGCTTCTGGCAATGTAATTCGAAAATTCTGGCCATGGACAATCCCGTCATATCTAAGAATCCATGTGTTCCAATTCTGTGGCAAACGGACATGATAAACATGTTCCATCTAGCCACGCTGGCAGAGGTGACTAGTGATACCTCCTAAGACGATGTGTCATCGTCTTTCTGGTGGAGTCACCGACCACGCAATGCTGTTTGGAGCATAAAGCATGGTGAGACGGCAATTCGGAAAAAAACACGGATAAATGTACTACCGTAATCTGGGTAAATTATAACGAGCTCACGAGCTCACTGCGAGCGAACCCTGGAATCATGGTTAATAAGAGGAATCATCCCAAAATGGCTTTATTTCAGGTTAGCGAATTATTGTAATTTACCGACTAATACTTGTTTGTCTATCAATCTGGTCTTTCTGCAGCATTTACACCATGCGCTGCAACTAGAACCCAATGACACTTGGTCTGGAAAGTAAATCTCCATACACCAAACCAACCCTCCAACGAGCCATGATCGAGGCATGTGGCGAATTGGGTGTCCAGTGTAAGGAGGTGCGTCATCCACGAAGGGGATGGCAACATTGTGGATGGTGCAGAAGGTTGACATGTCGTAACTGTTTGTAACTCACTTGTGAATGGTTCAAGATCATACGGGTCGATCTCCGAGACGGGAAACTGGCAACTTGGGGTCAGTTTTCGTACCATGCAGCTTAAATTTGCCACCCCGAATCTGACCAATATGAAATCAATTATATCAATTCAACCTCAAAGTGAGTCTACTTTCAGGATTTTTCCCGGGATGGGGTGGTTCTAAATCCAAGGCAGCTGAAACAAAAAACAAAATCTTTAGAACATGAACAGCGCGGTCCAATGGGTTTAATTAATATGGTGTCATACTATTTTCAAGATCTTTCATGGTGTTTTCTTGTCCGAAAGTCGACTTTTTCTTTTTCCACTTTGGAGGTGTCCCAAAATGGGGGATCCCCTTAAGACATAGGTTTCAAGACTAAAAGTGGTCCAATGATGTCCAGTGACTTTGACTAAACATGCAGATCAAGCGAAAAAGGGTGATGGTAAGGCAATAACTTTGTCCGAACTTTCTGACATCTGAAACCAATGTGGTTATGGATTGATAGCAATAACTTCGTGTGTGTTTTTTTGTGGATGAAAAATGATGCACACCACGATTTAGTGCTATATATTTTTAGGGGGACAGAAGGAAACTTCAGTGAAGTTGGCCAGCCAGTTGGTTCAGCTGTTGCAGGTTTGGAAGTTCATCAAATGTCTAGCTATCCTGGGTCCTAGAACAGCTTTGATCATCTTTTTGAAGCATATTGAAGACATGTTCAAACTTAGAATCGGAATGTGTATATAATATTATATAGTTATATTATACAATTATATATATATCACACACATACATATACATATAATAATATAATATAATATATATATATATATCATATATTCTCATTATCTCATCCAGTGCTTTCTCTCTCAAGTGATTGACCATAGACTCGTAGATTATATTCATCAATTCTTTTATGTTTGCTTTATGAATTCATAGATTTCATATGCTAAACATGGCGAGTCTTGTTGGATCTTGGTCCAGCCAAGGCCCATCCGATGCGAACGCCAGGCCCATTTCAGAGCCCTGACGATGCGAACATCTGACCCACAGGCACGACCCTCTGCATTTCGGGGTCAAGTTGGGCATTCCACATGTCAATGGATTGGTTTAAGGGAAAATCTACAGGAAACCATAGATTTTCCCATTAAATATGGGGCTTTCCTGTAAATTTTCCCTTAAACCAATCCATTGAACATGTGTTCAATGGTGGTCAGATGTAGTTGTGAACCTGGCAAAGCGATGATACCGATGTAGTTCTCAGGAATTGCCAAGAAACCTGGTAAATGGGTCAACGATTTGGGGAATTTCCCCGGATTCGGCTCAGAGGGCAGATGCAGGGTTCGGGGGACACCCTATCAGGGGATATTTCATGCCCCAGAGTAGCACTTGGACGATGTAATGGGTCTAGAGTCTGGGGTGATCCTGACATGAACTGGCCAATAGCGGTGCCCTCGTCATATGTTCTCTGGTGACCTTTGTTTTGTCAGCATGTCATATCTATCTTCCCCTTCTCACGCGTGTATGTAAGTCCGATGGTCGTCCTGTTTTTTGTTGACATTGTTTGGTGGTGAAGATTGGTCGCTTGCCCCATTTTCTTTGGTTTCAGTCAAGGGTCAAAGTCGTAGCGTTTTTTTGGTTTTGCTATCATACCGTTTTGGCAAAGCTCTTCAGGGGGTTGTGGCCATTGTGGCTGCGCCTATGAGATTTGCAATGACTGCTTGAGTGAGTTAAAGGTCTTTTTTTTTAAGTCCAGATACATATTCATATTTTCATTGTGTTCTTGGATGACCATGCATATTATTTGGGTTCTTGGTGAGGTTGTTTTAGCAGCATGTTAAGCTTACAGGGGGGAAAGGTCCCGTGGTCATGCCTCCTACATCCTCCTACATACTAATACCCTTTTTAGATGGGAGGCAGGGCCATCTTTGTCATTTCTTCTCTTTTTTCATGTTTTTGTTTTCTCCTTCTTACCCCTTTTATCCTGCAACGTTTTAGTCTTGCACAATGTTATGTTTGAATTACAGGCACATCCTGGGAGTTTAACAAAATAATGAAAAACAGGATAAACATGGATAAACACAGATAAGACAGGAACAAAATAGGATTGACATCCCCCCAAAAAAAGGACAAAACTGGGCAGAGAAAAACCCGTGGTTTTTGCACATTTTCGATTTTCCAGAAACTTCAGCCAAATTTCCGGATTTTTAGTTTTGGTCACTTCCATTTTTTCCCTATTTTGTTCCTAATAAACGAACGATAAGATCTTTCAAAATGAAGGCAATCCCTTTGTGTGTTTGATGGGGGCTGTTGATTGTCTCAGATACTTTAGATTGGACGGGTTGCAATCTGGATCAATCTGGCATTTTAAGCTTGAAACTGCAACATTAACAGTCGTTAACAGCCAAACTCCCCCATGCAGGGAGGCATTGGGCAGCACGTCATGGGTTTCTAGCTGTTAAGAACCAAGTATAGAGATTGCATTCCCCGTCATTGTTCCTCAGACGCGAATTTGAGATGTTAGTTTGTTGACAAACATCAGTTTGTTGATAAATATCAGTTAAGCGTGCAGCGTGCTTGCAAAATTCAGTCATGGGGGTTACGAGTCAAATTTCAGTCTGGTGTGGATTGCCCGAAATCCAAAAAGTTTGGGGTTACGAGCAATCCTGGAATGCGAGGATTGTGCCAAGGTTGCTGTTGAGGTAAAGAAACATGCCAATGTACTTTCCAACGCTTCAGTGAAAGTTGGGTAGAAATGGTGTTGTGGCAGGAGCAAGCAGCTGTGCCATGGTTTAATGTCCCATGGGGCACGGATTTCTCCCGATCCCAAATATACTATCATATACAATTATATAATTATATATATATATATCATTATACATATATATATAGTTCATATCATTACACATCCGCTCAATGTTTGCATTAGTATCCCCTATATCTATGTATATGTATATATAATATGTATATATAATATGTATATATAATATGTATATATATAATATGTATAATATATATATACATAATAATAATGTATATATATATAATAATAATGTGTATTATAATAATGTATATATATACACAACTTGAAATCTACAAGACTTTACATATATATATACATACACATGCTATGTTTGTGTCTACACACGTTCTGGTCATTTTCCAACACTCCAGGTGAAAGTCCGGCGCGCTGCTGTCCAGGCCTTGGGAAGAGCAGCACCAGCAGGACTGTCTGTGTTGGGGTGTCACGTGGCGGTATTTTTTCATGTGGTTAATGGTTATTAATAGATGTTAGTAGTGGTCAAAAGTGGTTAATAGATATTAGATTATGTTAGTAGTGGCTGATAATGGTTAATGAATGGTTATTAATAGTGGTTAATAGTGGTTAATGATTATATTACATAGTGGTTAAATAATGTTTAAGGGTTAATGGTTAATGGTTATATATATATATATTATAAATGTTAATGATATGGTTATTCATGGTTAATTTCTGGTAAACTAGCAGTTTGCGGTTGAACATGGCACATAGAAATAGTTGATTTGCCGTTCTTAAAGATGGTGATTTTCCATAGCAAACGGTTAGTTTACCAGAGGGTAACTACTAGAAGTGATGAAACAGTAGACATGGTGATTTAATCAGTACAGGCCATAAGATGTCATATATGTCATATCCATGTTAAATAAAACAATGATGATGGGATATGACATAGTAATGTACTATGGTTTATTATTATCGCACACTGGGGTGCACCCCCTTGTGAGGACAGTTTTGCCGCTCGAAAATTCGGATGATTCCAGAGTATCATACGTAGAATAATTTTCAAAGAACCACGTGATCCAGACCAAACTGGTTAACCCACAAAATTGGTCACAATCTGGTTTCCCACACATTCCATCATGCTGGCGTCCAGCTTATGATAGGCCATGATATGCCATGATAACAATGGTGGGATGACCAGGGCCCCAATATTTAGATCATTTGGGTTTGTCTCAAAATAGGGTACCCAAAAAATAATGATGAATTTGATGAATTTTGAAGGTTTATCATTTTCCCTGTTGTGTCATGGCCAGTAATGATGTATATATATCCCCATGTGGTTCCCATTTTTACAGCCATGTGTCCAGCCCGTAGAATCCTGGATACAGGGGTAATGTCGGCTCCCCAGGAGGCACACGAATACCGGCCTTCTTCAAAGACAAGGAGGACAGCATTCGTCACTTTGCAGCAGAGACCCTTGGTTCAACGGGGGACGAGGTGCCGATTCAACGGGGGATGGGTAGATGGTTTCTTTTGGGGTGAGGCGGGGTGAGGTGCAGGCACCAGCAACTTTGAAAAAGCACACAGTCTGGTTGGTGCTTTGGAACATTTTTTATTTTTCCATATATTGAGAATAATAATCCCAACTGACTAATATTTTTTCAGAGGGGTAGGTCAACCACCAACCAGTATCAACCAGTTATGCGTGTTCAACGATGTTTGTCTTGAATGATTAGTTTCTTCACATGTCAGCATGGATTTGCCGGATGGAAAACAAATGGCAAGTCGAATGGAAACACAAACACATAACCACAACATACAATGCAATTAATTATATAGACTATTCATATGATGTCATCTACACATATCCACAACACTCTACATTTCGGTGTGCCTTCGTGCAAAAAACGGAATAGAAAGGAAGTCATCGAAATGTGCACGTTTCAGGGATTCCAATAAAAACCGTTCTGTTCAAAGCTGTTTTACCCTGACTTGGAAGACATACCATTTTGGGCCAGTCTTGCCCAAAGCACACGTTTCCGGAATTACTAAAAATTCACTTGGAACACAAAAGCAGTTCCGTTTAAAGTGGAAACGAACCCGACCCGCCTGTCGATTTGGCATGTTGATCAATAAAGTTTTTTTTGGGAACTACTTGTTTTGGCACATGGTTGTGAACCTTTGCTATCTCCAAACCACCTTTTTTGGGAACATAGTGGTAACCCTGTGGTTTTCTTTCATTAGTGGTCGTCGTTAGTGGTTTCCATTTCATTGTCCTTTACCATATCAGAATTATTGACGACATGGCACAGCCGATCGGTGCCGTGTCGCTTCGATTCCATTCGCGGGGACACTGGATATACCCCGAAATCCATTGGTCAAACTATTTTTAATCTATTTGCCAATACTGCGGATTGTCACAGTGAGCTGGGAGTTCCTATTCAATAGGTGTGTTTTCTTCCAAATCAAGATGGCGTTGCTTATATTTACCCATATTTATCCCATCAAATCCCTGTTAAGTCCCGCTAAGTCCCCATGAATTCCACGAATCCTCTGGAAAAAAGCGGCAGGCCGCTGCTGCCGTCTGCGCCGAGCTCCTGGTTTCGGATGGCCCCGCGCATGTGAAGTCGGCGGCGCTGCTGGACCGTTGCGGGGACCGTTGCGGGACAGGGGTGACAGCTGAGCCAAGGGTAATATGAATATTACCCTTGGTTTATAATGTTGGAGTTAGATATCAAGGGTGATATATCTATAGGTAATGTACAACTTACCAAAGCTAGGGTATTATATCTAGCTAAGTTGGTTTATAATGTTGGTAAAACAATCATGAATTTTAGCCTAAATCCCCATAAATGGGTGGTACCAGGCGGTGCCCCATAGTTAGTTAAGTTGGTTTATAACTCCAATATCATCTAGGGTTTATGGTAGATACATATTTATCTATAGTTACTATGGTTTATAAACCAACTTATAACTTATAAACCATCAATTCATATGGGTGGTCTATGGCATTCCTTTACCAACATTAGTATGAGATTCATAGGAGACTATGAATTGATGAGAATCAGAATAGTGGGATAAGAGTTCCTAGGAGTTTGGAGTTTCAGGAAGTTTCTGGAGGTTTAGGGAAGTTTTACCTGGGTAGTCTTGAAGATGAATGGAACTTATAGATATATCATGGACATTTTAGTGGGTATCAAATATCAATTGATATTAATGAATATCAATGGATATGAACATCAATGGAAATTCATCGATATTAGGGTTCTGATATGTGATGGCTGTTTTTGGATGCGTCTATGCGAGAAATCTGTGAAGGAGATGTATCTACTGTTATCCACTTCTTAGGTGCCTAGGAGCCATAGTTGGTACAGTGTGACAAAAACAAGGATGATTTCCCATCAATAAGCAGTATTTGTCGTATTTGTCCGTTGATTCCATTGCGATGTTTGATTGCGGGAGGGTATTGTTATCTGGTTGGTGGTTTGGAACATGACTTTTTATGACTTTCCATTCAGTTGGGAATGTCATCATCCCAAGTGACTTTCATATTTTTCAGAGGGGTAGGTCAACCAGCAACCAGTTATGTTGAATAAACATTCATAAATCTCAATAGGCTATGGTTTATCAACATACCCTGATTCGGTGATGTGGGTTTCCCCCAAGATTGAAAGAATAATCACCGAAATTGGGCTTTGTGAATTTGGGTATACCGTATATACCTCAATTTGGGATGATTAAATATCTAAGATATGACCCCGAAATGGTTGGTCAATGGGACGGTTTATGATTGTGTTTACCAGATTAATTACTGAAGGGAGTACATATGATAAACCATACCTCACTGAGCTTTGTTCAACATGGCAATACCCCCCTGTCATCCAGCACGGCAATGGAGAAATTATGAGAAATTCTCCTTGCTGATGGGAAATCCTCTAGAAACGGAAATTATTGTGGGATGTTTTTTGGTTGGTTGGATAAATGCTTTGTACCTGGATGAAAAACTACAAGCTCTCGTAGCTTGGAATTGGCATCTCATGGCATAGAAAAAAAACCCAACGATGATCCTCCTGGTGTCTAAGCCGGAAATTCCCTCATGAAAAAATGTCTATGAGTTTCCCTATGAACAAGGATTCCCCATTGTGTTTGCATACGAATTCGTATCCATTCTATGAGTTGACGCTAGCAAAGAGCAGCTGGGACCGGCAACACCAAATGTGTAAGATGCCCAATGGTTCCACAATTTGACCACATTTCGCTGTAGATTTTATTGATATGACCCCAAGAATGGAGATGAATGTAGTTGGCTGGTCGGGCGTAGAAGGATGTAGATTCATGATCAGGTTCATGAGTTTATGCAAAATTCAATTTTACTCACTTATACTCATTTGGTGTTTTTTGTAGCCCCCCCAAACATAGAAAAATAAGATAAACTGACTATAGAAATGTAGGGTTTGACGTTTCTATCTTTTTGGGGATTCCGAAAACTGGAAAACATGGCTGGCAGGCGCTTGGCCGGATGAAGCTTCCAGCTTGGTCCCCGCAGGCGGTCCGGGAAAGCCACATGAGCCATGGGGATGGTTTATGGATGTTAAGAAAGCACCCAAATGACCCTCTGGTCATTGAAGAGTGAATAGATGTTGATAGTATTCATGGTTTTTATAGTGGTTACAGTAATTATTCATGGTTAATTTCTGGTAAACTAGTACCGTTTGCGGTTTTGAACATGGCTTTTCTTGAAAGCCAGTTCGTTGATTTACCAGAAAAATACCCTCTGGGAATCTGGGTCTGAAAATTGGGACCCCCAAGACCAAGGGATGATGATCCAATGGATGATCCAATGAAGTCCGCAGGCCATGAAATCACCAATAGGAGTATACACCCAATTTCCAGATAAAGCCAATGAACTTCCAGATGAACAGCTTAAATGCGTTAAAATGAAGATGGCCATGGATTGGATGGCAATGTATTGTGGATTTATCTAGAGACTACGTATTTTACATAGCTGTGTTGCTATGCTAGTTTACTGGACGGTATATCCATTTATGGCTTCCAATTGGGTTTTCCTACATGATACTATTGAAGTTTCATCATTGTTCTTCTCCATCTCTCCATTGAACTCCATTGAAACGGCAATCTTGGAATCTAACAAGGTGATTTCCATGCGTACATCGCGTAGAAATGATGAATAACCTCTGGTAAATGAACATAAGCCATGGGAAATCACCATTTTTCATAGCGAAAATCAACTATAAGTGGTCCAAATTTCAACTTTCAGCGAAGACATGGTGCCGAGAATCTGCGGGAGGTGGCCGGCTGTTTGCACGACCCTGATTTGGGCACCCGTTTGGCCGCGATTCAGGCCGGGGACGCCTGTTTTACAATATACTGTTTTTAATATAATTTAATATATAAACAGTACAGTGTAGTAGAATAGTCATATGTTTTGGTAAAGCCTTATGAATACAGAAACATTGGTAATACATTTATTTGCCACTATTTAGTATACGTATGATTTGTTAAGGAGCACACCCGCACTGTTTCTGCTTCAACTCTCTATGTTTGCTAGGCTCCAAATCCTGACACGAAGTGTTGGTCACATGCACAACGGTATTGCTACAATTCAATTGGCCTCTGGTAAATCAACCAAAAAACCCTGAAATTCACCAATTGTTTGAGTGGAAACTCATCTTCCAACCCCCAGGGCCCCCAAGTCATGACAGGGTCGAAGTGTTCAAACAACTGCAGAAAAACCAGGTTTCCACAGATTTGATGGCTTGCCGAAACGCTGCGGTTTTATCACCAGAACATGCTATGGGAATGCGACCTGGTAGACGTTCACAAAAAACGATGGAAAGATCCACCCATTTTATAGTTGGGTACATCAACTATTTCGACTGGGCAATTTTCGATAGCTATGTTAAATTGCCAGAGGGTATTTCCAGGATCAAGCTCAAGTTCCATTCCAAAACCATTCAACTGACCATGTCATGACCATGTTCATCTTCAACTCTCAAATCCTGGGATATCCAATCACTTCACCAGTAACGATTTCTGTAACTGAGGTGCCTCATTTCTGGCGGAAGTCTATATGATTCTTGGGACCAAAGTCTCAAAGTACAGCATATCGTATCCATATAATATACTGGTTGGTGGTTTGGAACATTTTTTATTTTCCATAATACATGGGAATTTCATCATCCCAACTGACGAAGTCCAGACTTTTTTCATAAGATGGTTAAAACATGTTAAGTCACCACCAAGCCGCATCAAAAATAAACCAAGTTTGTCCATGGTTTTTCCTTTTGTCGACCGTATATCCGAGGGTATCCCTGGAAGATCCCCTATCCCTGATCTCCAGGCCTTAAGTGATCTTGGAGCTGAGAGTCAAGCCCAGGAGCTGCAGGCCGAAAGCCAAAAATGGAGGACACCCAGCGAAACACCAAAAAAAACACCAGGGAACATGGTGATTTTATTGTTTTCTCAACGGGATTCTTCAAGGGAATTTGGACAAAGATATGTTCTTTTGGGGTGTTTTCAGAATATTTTCAGAGTTCACGGCATTTTAGATCGAGCATGTTTTAGCCATCAGCACATGTTGGGCTATAATGTGATACATGATACATGAATATACATGATGGTTTATGTTTTGTTTGAGGTTCTACTACCCCTTATATTGGGGATTCTCAGGATTCTCATAACCCATTGACCAACCATCATGTTGCAGATTTTCCAATACTCTAAATCCGCTGTTTCGAACATGATTTTGCTTATTGAGACCATCAGTTGGGGTAAACCATGGACAATCATGGTAAACCATGGTAAACCACATGGTAAAGGACAGGCCCATGTAGTTCAATTGCGAATATTCAGCATGAAATCTGGGGACATGGATATGATGCTTTGCCACCAAAACTGAGGAAAATTCTGAGTCCGAAAAAAATTGAGCCGCTGACGTACAACAATGCCATCGGTATCTATTTTAGATACGATCAATCAATCAAGTCAGCGGAGATGAGAGGAGATGAGATGGGAAGGTCAAGCCGCAAAAATGGGGAAATGAAACTCAGAATGATGGAGTATCATGGAGTATCCAGTATAAATTGTTGTAAGAACATGAAAGAACTGTGATCTGTGACGAATCTGTGATATCAAGCAAGTGGGCTTAGCAGTAGTGGGGATCAGCCTCTGGGTTTTCTCTTCGCTTTGGTCATGCTGCGCACCTTCATTGGCGCTTGGTAAAAAAAAAAATCATGGGTGGATACCCATCAGACTGCGCATCTGACCAGCAGAAGTGGGAAACACGGGTGTATATATATATATAGACTATCCAGTGGTTGTGGGGGAGCTAAGGAGCTCTGTGTATCAATATTCCAATATATTCCATATTCAATGGGCAGCCAAGGACAACCGAATGATAGATGATACTCTATATTATGCATACGCCCCAATAACACTGAAAACAGCAAAGATGCAGAGATGATACAACCTGAAAGCGATGGCTCCGATGGTTCTAAATTGAATGTGCTTTGTTCACTTCTGTCTGGACCAAAAAGTAAATTACCAAGTTTGATCGGAAGCGCGGATTGCCCCATGATAGCCTGTGTCCTGGAATTCCTGTTAACTGTTAACTTGCCAGAGAACCGATCTGTACATATCTGCGGGAGGTTTTTCGAACCGGAGAAGATTGGACGGGCCCAATTTGGTAATGCATAGCAACCCCCGAAAAGATTCAAAAACAATGAAAAGAAGCAATTGTATAAATACATCAATTTATCGCCATTTACTGCGGGATTTTCATCTTTTTTTTTCTTTATCTTTTTGCGAGTTGCTACAATGGTTATCTTGGAGAACAGCAACGTCTCTTACCTGGGAATCTGTTTGACGAGAACAACAAGCTGGTATACGAACCACTATTGTTGCTGTTTCATGCTGTTTCTAGTGTACGAACCACTCAAAACTAGGAAAGTCGAACAGCCTTGGCTCGTATTTTTCTTGTTCTGGTTTCTATTTGAGTAGTTTAGTATACGAAGCCGAGACACATACAACAGAACAATCATGTCCACTTGCTCCCGGGTCAAGATATCATTCTTACTGGTGCTTAGCAGGGAATGAGGGAATGATCCACAATAACTATCAATAATCATTCCAGCAACCCCCATTCCCATCCATTCCCTACGTAAAACGCACCAGTAAGGATTTGCTTGTCGTGCCAGGCTCTGTCACGAGACAAGAATAAAGGCGTCCGTCAGGCGAGGAACCGAAGCTGACAGATTTTCACCAGGGGATGACCGAAGGACGATGAAGTACAGCTGGTTCGTTCCTCCACTTTTTTCCACATATATATATATATCATATATCATATATAATGTTTTAAGATGTTTTAAGATGTTATAATATGTTATATAAATATGTTATATTAATATGTTATATTAATATGTTATATTAATATGTTATATTAATATGTTATAATAAAATATGTTATATTAAAATATGTTATATTAATATGTTATATTAATATGTTATATTAATATGTTATATTAATATGTTATATTAATATGTTATATTAATATGTTATATTAATATGTTATTTTAATATGTTATATTAATATGTTATATTAATATGTTATATTAATATGTTATATTAATATGTTTTATTAATATGTTATATTAATATGTTATATTAATATGTTATATTAATATGTTATATTAATATGTTATATTAATATGTTATATTAATATGTTATATTAATATGTTATATTAATATGTTATATATATATTAATATGTTATATATATTAATATGTTATATTAATATGTTATATTAATATGTTATATTAATATGTTATATTAATATGTTATATTAATATGTTATATTAATATGTTATATTAATATGTTATATTAATATGTTATATTAATATGTTATATTAATATGTTATATTAATATGTTATATTAATATGTTATATTATAATATGTTATAATAATATGTTATAATATGTTATAATATGTTATAATATGTTATAATATGTTATAATATGTTATAATATGTTATAATATGTTATAATATGTTATAATATGTTATAATGATATAATTACATACTATGTATATATATACTTGGATTCTAGATTACCATCTGGTGACTGAGCGTATCCATGGAGAATCACCATCTTTAATCAGCAATTCATTGAACTAAATGGGTCATGTTCTATAATTATGTTAAAGAACCAGAGGGTATAGACATAACTACGTATAACTACATATAACTACATATAACTATATATATGATATTATATATATACACTATATACACTATATACACTATATACACTATATACACTATATACACTATATACACTATATACGCTACATATAGTATAAATTATATATATATATATTAATAATATATATGTACAATCAAACTGATATATTTTGAAGCTTCCAGCACTTCCACATTTTGTCCTGAGGCCGCCGTGGCAGCGTTGGCCAAGATGGGGAGCGCCGGAGCGGAAGCTGCCTGCAGTTTCCTGGAAGATCAGGAGGGGCCGAATTCCTCGAGTCTTTGCCCAAGCGCATGATTCATCAAAATGGAGGATACCCTCTGGTAAACTAACATAACTATGGAAAATCACCATTTTAAATGGGTAAATCCACTATAGATGGTTTTTTTTCAGTAGCTATGTTAGTTTACCAGAGGGTATTCCTAAGGTCTGGGGAAAAAAACAAATTTGATGATCCTAGAATTTGATGATTCATCATTATCAATGGGAAATTCAGGATAAAATGGACTAACCGTTAGTACCATAGTTGCCATATAAATTGTGGGGATATTCCCTGACGTAGGACTTTTTTTCCGCCATAGTTTGCCCATTTTTTGAAGTCCACTGTCACTAACTCCACTTGGGAATCCACTGAGAAGTATGACTTCCAAATGACCAGATTGTGAATGGGATATGACAAAGCCACAAATCGAGCACTTGAACATGATTCTCTGGTGGTAGATTTTTAGATGAGTCAAATTAATAGTCATAGGAGTCATAAGGTCATTTTGTTGCGATTGTTATAGAATCTTTGATGCGCAATATGGGCATTTCCACAGGGCCTGATATTTCCAAGTTGGGTTGGTTCACAATCATTCGGATGCAAGAAGATGTTCACCGGATGAAGTGGCCTGAAAACATGTGGCATATTTTGCAGGTTTGGTGCAAATATTATTGACTATATTCAATCTACTGTGTATATATATATATATATGTATGTAATTACATATATATATATATACATATGTATATAATTATATATATATATATGTATATATACACACACTACCCTCTGGTAATTTAACATAGCTATATACTATGGACAATGCCCCATTTGAAGTAACCTATTCTTTAAATGGCGATTTTCCATAGCAAACTGTTAGTTTACCAGTATCGATGTATACGTGTATAAAGCTTAACTTAGATGTCCGTAGATTCAGGATTTCAACAGTCGGGGTGTTGAAGTAAAGTTTATATTTGAACTGATCTTAATTGAAGTAACTGAGCAAACAAGTAGTACGTTTGAAGAGATATGATATATATGTATATAGATAGATAGATTTATATATATACAATTATATACATATATATATATATATACACACTATTCTATATAATTACTATATATATATATCCCTGAGTAGCGGATATTAAATGATATTAGGATACACGTCGTAACATCAAAATGGCTAACATCCGTGCAGTGGATGTGCAGGATCCAGCTGTCCGACAGTCAGCTGTGAGGGTAGGGAGCTCAACTTCGCAGCTCAACGCTTTGATGACTAAAGGGCGCTCGACATATGATGACTTTATATGACTTTATGATGGGATTTTAATGATTCTAAAGTTGGACAATTGCAATTTCTTCAGGTTTATTGAATCATGCGGATTAAGCCATATGTCTATATACGGATTAAGCCATGATATTCTATAATTATGTAAGATTATGATATATTATGTATATATTTCTTATAAATATGTGTGTTCTGGGTTGGAATCACCTACCTCTCAGGACTGATCCCGCCCCAGGGTCCCAGACCGACTAAAAAGGATGATGATCTACCAACTACCCAACTACGTCCGTGGAAAAAACATAGACAAACAAGACCCGGAGATACCCGGAGGATGTCGAAATCTGTGGGAAAAACAAAAAAGGTTCCCCAAAGGATCTGGAAACATTGGCAAAAGCAAGTGGAAAACAATCTTTCCAAAGCCAGCCCAGCTATTTGTTGGGCCCTAAGGGTAATCTAGGATGCGGATGAAACAAAGCAATAACAATGAAGAATACATCGGTGTCTCTCAAAATTGGGGAACACCGAACCATTGGTGTCCTCATCAAAAATCACCGATCACTTTTTTGGATTTTCCAGGTGCCATATCGCCAGGTATACAGCCCGCTGCATTCCAAGTTAAAGGCCAGTTTCGCAGGGATGCCCGGAGAAATGGATCAGTCGACACAAGTGGATGGCTTCTCGGTGATGATGGGAGATTCTTTTGACCAAGGACAAACATAATGTCCTGCTAAAGATTGGAGTGGTCTTCCTAAAAAGGTAGAGTATCTCACTGTTTGTGAGTAGGTGAGACGTGCTGAGAGTAAGAGATGAAACGGACCAAACAAATGGAATCAAGAGCGAAGATGCCTTGGTAACAAAAAGATTCCAACAATAGACTTAGATAGACTTGCATATATAGAATTACATACATACATGCATGGATGCATGCATGCATGCATGCATACATCCATCCATCCATCCATCCATCCATACATACATACATACATACATACATACACACATACTTTATATATTTATATATACATATACATACATACTATATATATACACACATACCGACCATACCTTGGACAGCAAACCAGCTCCACACATTCCGCAAAAGTCAAGGCCAAAGCCTACGTGGAATTGGTCGCCCAGCGTTTGCTCGATGAGGCCACAAGAAAGGTTGACGATTTCATCGGGTTATGGGAATTTAACTACATAAAATCACCATTTGTAATAAGTAAAGCATCTATTTCTATGGGCCACCTATACCATGGCTATGTTAAATAACCAAATGTTAACTATGAATTATGGTTGGTTTATGTATATAGACCAAACTAAATAAATAGGGTTTATCAAAGAAGATGACCATGCTAAATATGTATCATTATGGGAATATCAACCAAGATGGTCATACCAATCAAAGATATAGATCATCTAGTTGATAAATTTTGGTTGATTGGTTTACAGCCATGAATTTTCTAGGCTTTTCTAGGGGGTTTAGCATGGTTTAAGGATGGGAGGATATTACTGATGATTGATGTTTGAATGGTGATGAAACGGGAGTTATACTACCTAGGTTAGTCCGGATTATGGACAAACCAACAGGATTGGGAAATCGTGTTCAACCAACGAGTAGAATGAGCTACCCAGCATCGAAAATGGGTCAAAATCCATGATTCCTGGGCCCGTTTTTCACCACTCATCTGGGATCTGAAAATTTCCAGATAGTGAGATACCCCAAAAATGCTGGTTTTGGTCGGATGCACGGACATGAATATGAACGTTATGAACCTTATATGGACATACGAATCATATGGGTTTTTCAATTTGAAAGCAGAACTTGAAAAAAACCTAAACGATTTTGGGGTCGCTTGTTTGCAGGCAACCCCCAAAAAAAAACCTCTTCAGAAATACGACTGTGTTCAACAGATTGAGGGTATTTTCCGTGAAGCCAATCAGACCCACTGGCTAGCCAGCTTGGAAGATGCAAACATCAATGCATATATTGGTTGGTGGTTTGGAACATGACTTCATATTTTTCCATATATTGGGAATGTCATCATCCCAACTGACGAACTGGGGTAGGTCAACCACCAACCAGATATAGATTTGATGCCCATGATATGCCCATGATATTTTTCAAGAATCCCTAATGATGGGCACCATAAACCATCTCCCATTGGCACGAGGTTTTCAAGCATTTCAACCAACATGACTCTTGAGGATTGTTGAAACATGTTGAAACCATCAGCATTCTCCCATTTGACCATGGCACATGTGAGATTTTCAAGCAGCATTCAGAGGATTCTTCGCTACTCATCCAGCAGGATGGGGGTCATCTTCCCGGCAGGACTGGCGTGTGCGCCTGGCCGCAGTGGTGGCCCTGGGCGATTTGGACGCGCGACGCTTCGCGGAGGAGCTGGGCGCGCTGCATCAAGATCCGGATCTGCAAGTTCGGCGGAGTGTGGGGACCTCGGCACCCCCAAGACCCCCCCGAAAAAAAAAACGGCTGAGGAACATCGAGTTTCTGTGACAGCTGGGGATCTATATAGATTGGCTCTTTATTACCATAAATCGCCTAAATCATCCTAATTTAGGATGATTTAGGAAATTTATGGGAGTTTTAGAGGGGCTTTTTATGGGAGGTTGAGGATGTTGAGTCCAGACGGAAACCAATAACCTGTGTCCAAGAATGGTCTACCAGGAAGTGTCCACCATAGACTGACATCTCAACCCTGGATTAAGGGCTAAACTATATGGACCTCCCTGGTTGATTATTTTGAGATATTTTGAGACCATTTCATGTGATCTGCTCTTGAAATGGTTTATCTAATGTTTATCTGGGATCAAGGTCGTTCCATATCGTCATAAGTGTGTCATAAGGAATTTTGTCATACTTTGGAAAATTTGTCGTTCTTTTCGTTCCATATCTCTCATTCGTTTGGATTTTTCTCCATTTTGTCCGTTGCGTTGTGTGATGAAGGTCACATTTCGCGGGGTCAAGTTGGTTCCATTGAGTCTGACCGTGGTCTGCTTGTTGACCCAAGTGATATATATATATATATACAATTATATATAGTTATATATATATAACTATATATACAACTATATTTATATATAATTATATATATATATATAACTATATATACAACTATATTTATATATAATTATATATATATAACTATATATATATAACTATATATACAACTATATTTATATATAATTATATATATATAACTATATATATACAATTATATATATATAACTATATATACAACTATATATATAATTATATATATAACTATATATATAGCTATATATATATAACTATATATATATATAACTATATATATATATAACTAGATATATAACTAGATATATAACTATATATATAACTATATATATAACTATATATATATATACAATAACTATATACATATACATATATAATAAGTATGTATATATATATATATGATTGACATGTGTGTGCATGTATATATGGGGGAACCCCCCTACTTGGGTGTATCTGAAAATGGGATAAACCAACCCCCCACATGGTCAACTGACAAATATACGATAAACCATGATTTTTTCCAAGGGTACCCAATTTTCAGACAATCCCGGGGTTTTGAACACAATCGCTGCCATCCAGACAATGACATTAGCCATGACAAATCACTGCCATAGGGCTAGCTCCACAGCTTGCGAGTGAAGGAGAACATCTCGAAACCCCGAAGAACATCGAAGAACTGGGTAGAGATGTAGAGCATAGTGGAAGTCAGCTATGGTCCAGGCCAAGTATCGGAATTGGGCAGCTTCTTGCAGCAGCTACCAGTGGTCTCAGTATGTATCTGAGATCTAAATAAATGGCCTCAAGCAAACTCACTCATTGACTCATGGCAGATATCAGCCCCTCAGAATCGAATTTTAGTTGTTGGACGATCCCACTCACTTACTGAATTTGAAGACTGGGGTGAGGAAAGGGTCTTCCACTGACAGCTTTAGGCAGTTTTGGCCTGATCTTGATTGAACCTGATACGTTGGAGAAGCATACAAAGCACACATATATATATATAATCATATATAGTATCTACTAATTATATATATTTATATAATTATATATCAATATGTAGATGGAATCGACAATGTCTGGTTTGTAGTTGACTTTCTATAGTTTCAACGAAAAACCCCCCGCCATTCCGTCGCGCCATGGCCGAAGTCAGCTGGGTGGAATCGTTAGGGTTTCTGAAGGACTGCCACATGGTGACTTGGGGACGATTGAAATTGGGTGAATCCCACATTGGCTGCATCCTGTGTAAGAGACTTATAATAGTAGGGCCAGACGCATATTCTGGGCTTGGGCAACACAAGGTGTCTGTGGGTAATATTACTATTTTTTTTATTATTATTACTGGTTGGTGGTTTGGAACATGAATTTTTTTTTTCCATAATATATGGGATGTCATCCTTCCCATTGACGAACTCATATGTTTCAATATGGTTAAAACCACCATTATTTTAAAAACCAGATTACTCAGATTACTATCATTATTTTTGTTTTTATTATTACTCTTGTTAGATATACGGCCCGGCTGATTTTTTTTAAACACTAGTCCCAGGTCCCAACCCGTGCCGTCTCCCGGTTTTTTTCACCTGTGATTCGTGTAACCCATGGGAAACTCAGACAGATGCACACTGCAGATGATGACCCTGAGATGACATAGCTTCGTTGTTCTTTGATCCAACAGCAGCGAAATTGTGATGTGAAAAATTGTGAAAACCAGGGCCTGGTTACCAGGCCAGCCCTTTGGTGAATTGACCGTCTAGTCTTTCCACACCAGTATGAGACTAAGCCAAGTGTGGAAAGTCTCCCCTGTTGATGGTCACCAATTGTCCCCTTCGTGGCTGATGATCATGGCAGTACCCTGGTACCGGCATAAACCCTAGCCATAGCCCATCTGAGGGGATTGAAGTCTAATCATCCTGATTCTCTCGCGTTGCAAACTCACATAGATGTGCCAAGCGCAGTGTCCTAGTTTGGGTAACAAAAATGAGGCCTTCTGATTTGGTTGGTAAAGAAGTGAATATGTCTTGTGTTTTCTCTACATGTTGATTTCCCCCCACGCGGATGTTTTTTTCAAGGCTCAACCGCCACCCGTATATGCTTTTGGGGTTTCCCACGCGTTGCCCTTCCAGAAGACTAAGATAGATATGGCAATCCGCAAACCCAACATTTGTATTTAACATAGTATGATGTTAATATTATTATTGTTATTACTTGCTCGTACCGGTACCATCCGGTAATATCCGGTACCTATCCTGTTATTATTATTCAAACTATTAATAAAATTATTGTCATATATACACATTAATATCACATATATATAATTACCTATAATTATCTATAATTATTTATAATTATAAATGATAATATGTATGTAATGTTATGTATATGTATATATATATATATTATATTGGATGATCTTCATTTGTTCCATACGCTGCTTCCTTTCCAGCGACCCCTCAGGACTTCGAGGTGCGACGGCGCGCGCGCTTCGCGGAGTGGCTGGAGGCCTTTCGCGGCCGGCTGCAGGTGGAGCGACGCAAGGCGTCCTCGGCACAACTGCTGGTGGCGCAGGTGGGCATTGGACAGGGATTTTGGGTGGAAAACCTGGTGAAAAACTGGTGAGTCGCCCAGGAAAATGGGAACTTCAAGGAGAATTTTCTGGGAATTGGATTGGGGTAACTATCCCAACTATCCCCAAAAAATGGGACATTGGATAGATGTCAATTGGATTGGGGTAACTCTGACCCGCACTGGTGAAGTGCTGGTGATTTCATCCAACTACAGTTGATGCTGGGAAACTGGTGATTGGATAGCATGGTGTCGAAAGTTTGCGATGTTAAGTGGAACAGGTAGTATATGTTGTAGTTGGTTGGGTTTGGTCATGGGGATATCTTAGTTAGTTTTATACTTTAATCAAATGTGTATCCTCTGGTAAACTAACATAGCTAACACAGCTATGGAAAATCACCATTTTTAATAGGCAAATCATCTATACATGGACATACATGGACCATTTTCCATAGCTATGTGAGTTGAGCAGAGGTATATAATTGTACATAGAGGTTAGACCCCATTTAATTTAGATAAACTTATTCATCACCGGTCACTGGAATAGTGGGAATTGGATTGGGGAAACTATCCCAAAGTGGTCTTATGGTCTTATTACAGCTTGGTGAACTACTATAGATTATCCTGATATATGCAACAAGATATGTATATATATATATATATACAAGTGTACCAACCTCTTTCAAACAAATGCAGGGTATCAACCGGGTTGGCCAATGCCCTGTTTATCGTTCCGAGTTTGCGTGGGACTTGTTCTCAGCAGATCCTGGATTTTCATAAGGGCCTGAAGATATCTGAGGGGGAACGACTGTACCAGCCAGAATACACCCGGTACATACATAAAAACCATAGCATTTGCGATATCCATACATGTATCTATATACACATGCATAGATATTATAATGTTGTCTGTACACCTGAATACGTCTGGAGTATATATATATATGTATATACATATATATATATA